TACAAAAAAATCCTATCACCATGGTCTAGAAAAATTTGTCATTACTGTCATAAACATTACTACTGTTGTTTGAATGGGAATAAATCATATATATGTCAATTGCTATTCCAATGTCAAACGCCGTATATAAGTCAAATGTCAGAATTTCATAGAGTGATAAATATACCCATTCCATATTTGCAGACGGGCACATTTGAAGATGCCGCATTTCTGTTAATTTATAGCCGCTAAACATGTCTCTGTGTCCAGTGCAGACTGTAAGGCGACTTTATAAGGAGCACATTACGTATATTAGGCAATTAAATTAAAGTTTTATGTTTGATGACAGAAATATTGAGAGAATGAAAGGAAGTGTCTGTCAGAAGATTGGGCAAAGTAGCACAACCATTTTCCGCCTAATACATAATATTCGAATACTTGAAAAACTGCCCATTGTTATCTAAAGGCAAGTTCTGAGACAAAAGTGTCAGTGATAATAACGAGAAACTTAAACCATTGTTAAATTTGGGAAGACAAATCTGGGTTTTCAAACATATTGCTCATCAAAAAGTGACACGTGATTAATAACAAAGCAATTTCGTTTATATAAGTATACTTTTATCATTAATAATCATTTATTTCGCAGCTTCAAACACTGGCGTGTGAACAACAAAATCACGACCCTGAGATAAAATCGCAATTTAAGAAGTCCAAAAACTTGCGAGACAGATCGTCAACTAATGGTAAAGCAGACACCTAGGCGATACCATGTTAAGATTGGGATTGTACCGCAAATGTGGCAATTACATCGTAAAAATCTGCCGGTCCCTGGCACTGAGCCTGGCACGGCTGGGGGAGGGGGCAAGCCTACACATCGCGGGCAGGCACGCCGGGTGGGGCCAATCTACCGTGTCCTTGTAGGCGCTTGCTTAATTGGTGTTGTAAAGATTGTAATACGGAATGATTTATACTATTAATTTGTCATCCTCTCAAAACCGGCCTGGCGCGCCTTAGCACCTTTTGTTTCACGTGGGTGGGGATATAGGGGGCAGCTTGCTCTTAATAACATCGGTGATCTAACAACGATAATAGTTAAATACCAAAGAAAATGTCAGCATCCACTGGTTTTGTTCAGTAGAATGTTTACCTCTTTTTTTTTTGCGAATCAACTGACATGTTACAAGTTACCGTACTGGGTATATGCATTTTTAAGGGAAAGGCACAATTTCCCACTTTGAAGTGATATTATTGTCACAAATACTGGTTCAGCTGGAATTGGCGATTTCTCCTTCAGATCTGACAGCTCTATTAATACATTTGAGATAGGCCTAATTATCACTTATGCATCTGACAGGCAGAAAAAAAACACGTCTAAAAACTGTACCATAAACCGGCACGATTCAATTAAACCTACGGGTAGATGTAGCGATATTATTAGATACAAGATAAAAAGTTTCTAAACTTGGGAAGATATAGGACTACAATGACCGATCACTGATTCAAGTTTATATTGATAAAATAGGAAAGATTAAAAAAAACTGATGTACCGCTATCAGATTAATAACTAAATTTTGCAGTGAAAAAAAAACCCTCCTGCACTGGACCTATAAATTCCGTGTTTTCAAATCCGGGCGACATGTGGAGTTAGTAGGTGGAAACTATTAATCCATAAATCAATGTTCTCTTTTGTCTTTTGTACTCTTACAAAAATGACTCGATGCACAGAGCGATGTGCTTGTTTTTATTTATTCACTGAAACATAGATATGTAACAATAAATGGGATGCATTATGCGTCACGAAGGGGGAACAGTGCGATATCTTTGTAGGTTAATAACAGCTGAGAAAAATATACAACTAACTCCCATTAAATTGCAGGTTTCATAACTTCCCTATCTGGAAGTCTCTCCCTAATGTTAAGACGCTGCTAAGATAGGTATCTTAAACATTTAAGGATGCAATCAGTAATCGCTAAAAATGATAGGTTAAAAGCACGACCTTAGGCTAAGCGCGGGTCCTGTGTGGGGAAAGCAGGAGGAGATGTGGCGCAATTAAGACTGTTTCATGTTTCGTAATCACTATAGATGAAAGAGAAAAAGGGGGTTGTTTTATCGTCAACTTGCTCTGCAATTTTATTTCGGGATATTCAAGATAAAATCAAAACGACGTCTTGGCATATCTCGTGAAGGAACTTCACACGAAAAAGGGCGATGTACGGCTATAACAGCTTAATTAAGGGTATGTTGCCTTCAGCCTTTAGCATAAATTTCCCATAGAGATCTTTTCGAGACTATGTGGGGCACGGATTTTTCTTGTTTGGTTCTACAGTGTGGTAGTGCCTGAGAATAACCCATTGTTACTAAATGCACTCTAACCTTACATTTTACTACGAGCAGAATAAGTAGACAAGTGACACAGCGTCGGCTGAAAACGCTTTTAATAGGCTTATCATGAAGAGAATAAAATTTGACCCCTGCTCAAAACCGACCCATCAAATACGACCCATCTCTTGCGCGACTGAAACATTTTCATTTCCTTTTTAAGCTCCAGATAACAGCAGAAATTCTATCCAAGACGCCAATTGCAAATTACATTGCACAGACATTGACAACGATTCACTATTAATTGATATCCAATGTAAATAAATAATATATCAAGTATGTACTCTGAAAACGTAGGGGAGGGGGAATGCACTTGATGTACATTTCAAGTACAGTTTTTTCCTAGTTTGATTTTTCTTAGTCTCATGACCTTTCAAATAGACTGTTTAACTTCTATGAGTGGCTAACCAAGCACGGACACCCATCTGTCTTCATTAACCGTCTTCAACAGTATTAATTGTTCGAATAACTTGTGCACTTGTTTCTGTATCGAGCGAAGGTCAACGCAATTAGAGTAATTTTCTCTTAAAAAATGAGTGAAGTAATACGCATCATCTGGGATTTAACTTCTAGGGACCGGCTTATAGCAACTACACTGAGAAAACAGACGCTGAAGAATTAATCTTAATAAAAAAAGACCTTTAACATCCACTGTATTTGATTTTTTTTTTCAGTATTGGTTTTCCATCGATAATATTCACCCGAGATTATGGTTACCAAGCTTTCTTACCTTTTTTGTGAGGATTACTCCATAAATTGCTGTATTTGATTCCGAGCCGAAATAGTAAAGGTTCCAACCAAGGGGAAGCTCATAAGACGAAATGATAAAATGCAATATTCCGTGTCCATCCATTTCACACGGTTAATTGTGTTAATTGCCATAATGGGCGAGATAGCAGATGGAAGCGTTTGTAATTAAAAAGAACTTATTTAACTTTATTCAAATCAAGTCGGTTTATATGAATTTAAGTGTTGATTTCAGTTTTTCTTTCTCAAAAGCAATAGTGGGAAATAGATGGTGTTTAAAATCGGTGACATTAAGTTAAGAATAATTGATGTATGATGATAAAAAGCATTGCGTCAAAAGAAACATAGGTGCTAAAGGATGACAACTCACGTGAAAGAAAAGCTGCAATAAGCCGCATGATGGCTGTTAAATCAACAAGCCAGGATGCTGAAAATGTCAAAGAATTGCGCAATTATGGCTTGATATAAAACACGTGAGCATCTCTTTCTCTGAATGAAAGAAGTATAAAAAACTGTTTAAGAATTCTTCAGTAACTGAGTTCAATTTTCTAAAAAACGCACCAAAAGACTCGAGAGTCTTTGGTTGCCGGGGTGAAACGGTTCAAATAGGAGAAAAAACGTTGCTTTTTAGTACTCGAATTAGAGAACGCTTAGAAAAAAAGCGCATTTAAGATATCTCAGTCTCGTTTCACGTCATGTATTTTGGGTGGAAAACATCAAATCTGTCAGTTCTAATTGCGGCTTACACTGAAAGCAACATTAGTCGTCTGCAACTTCACAGAGTTTGTAGATTGGACAAACAATAAGGTTTTGCGATCCGTAGCGAGCCACGTGTAGGCTGCTAACGTCGAGAGAAACAGATCAGGGAGTTCAACTATTGATACGTCCTGGGTAATGTCCATTTTAATTTGTTCCTTTTTTCAGCTGATCTAAGGGGAAAAAACGTGTTTGCACTTTATTCATGGATCTGTATGGTTACTTTAACCACGGAATACTTCGGTTACTAGGTCATATTAGTACTAACCAGCGAGAGAGAGAGAGAGAGAGAGAGAGAGAGAGAGAGAGAGAGAGAGAGAGGGGGGGGAGAAGGGGCATTTTTATCGACAAAAAAACGAGACGTTCCAAATACACTACAAATACTGTTTTAAAATGGTGGATGGTCATTTTTGTGGTGGTTAACTTATGACTTATTTGAAATGCTAAAGAGAGAACATGCTTCTTGTTTTGTACACAGCTGCATTTAGGCCAATGTGAATCTAGTCAATCTATTTTCCCGTTACTTTCTAATACATGTATCTTAACAAAGGGCTCAGTCTTTTTCTTTTGAAGTACATGGTTGTTGATTCAGTAGGGTTAAAAACTTAGTTTGTGCTACGATTAGGTTTAACCTGATCAAAAGCATCATGACTGTATATGTAAACCACAGATTTGCTTTTTTATTATTCATTTATTTGGCTACTTATTCCTTTAGGTCCCTATCTATTTGCTAATATTAATTAATTAATCAATCCATATTTTATTCCATTTTGATTAATTTGATTAACACTTTGGTCTCTTGTATTTATTTACATCTTACAGTTCGAACCCCTGTCTCACCCAACTCCCCTCCCCTACACATGGACAAATTATGATGATCCTTGACAAACAAATCTGACTCGTAAATAAGTCAAATGAATTTTTTTCGTTGGACGAACAAACACGAATTAAAAATACCAACAGTCACAGAAAAAATCAGGGCCTGATGTCCAACAGTCAGAATCATGAACGCGGTTGGATATGGTGGACCAAAAAAATAAAACGCAATCATGCTGTCCGAAACGCAATCCAAATTCAGCGGAGCTCACTAGATGGCAGTGCAACAGTGCATGGCTTGTCTTGGCCTCCATAGTGAATTTGGTAAACAATATGGCGGATTCGAAGTTGTTATGTTATCATCTCAAGTCTAGTATTATTTAGTTCAAAAGAAAAAGACAACGAAAAAGTTATGGATACCACGTTAGCACTAAGAGCCTCTACCGCGAGGGAGGGCATGTCTCTGGGTAAGGGTTTCCATGCCAACAAAGCATCAGTTCTGTGTTTTTAGCAGGTGCCCGTCAGGAACTGTCGATCCTGTATTATTGTTAAATACATTTAAGTTACATTTAAGTTATTGTAAGTGTTACACTGCCACGCTGTGCCTTACAGAATCAGAAATAATGACACTTACGTACATTTTAACCCCCCAATTGTGATGAGTGACTGGTGCTCCTGTGATTATGGCGGTCATGTATGTACTAGTATAAACTCCTCTAGATCTCTTAATTTGCCATATTGATGTTGAATGCTATTTTTTTCAGTGAATAAATATGAAGCACTGCTTATAGAGCAAGGCAGTCCAAAACCATCACAAGACAGGGCATTACTGGTGTTTCAGGCTCTGGATGACTTACTGCCACATTTAGGTGTATTTACCAAAGTAATGAAACTGATCAGGGATGATTTATATGGTAAACATAGTTTATTAACTCCTACTTTTTAAAAATATACCAGACATAAAACTAAAACAGAATTTTAAATTAAATGAGCTATGAACACTGATTTTTTTATCACACTATACATGAATTTGGTGTGTAAATTATTGAGAGTTGAACTGGCATTTTTGTTTAGAATTATTCTTTTTCTTCTGAATACTACGGTACTGTACTTGTACATAAATATATTAAAAAGAAAAGAAAGATTGGCCAAGCATTTAATTACTTGCTTAATTTAGATATTTATAATTTTTTATGAGGGTAAAAACATGGTGAGTTTAATTCATGCAGTGTGTAAAATATTACAAAGATATGCTCACCTTATTGTCTATTCATACTGGTAAAATGGTTGTACATTCATTTCTCCAGATGCTGTGTACAGTAACAATTTTACAAGCAGTAAAGATGCAGAGTCTTCCTTCATCCAGAGAGTGCCACATTTTAGCCTGGTTCAACAGGTTTATAAAGAGAGACATGAAGCTGCTGATGAACTGCGAGAACAACTGGAAGTAGTAAAAGAAAAGTAAGAGATAAAAGATCACATTGCCATTCAATTTAAGAAATTCATTCACATTATAAATGTCTGTTAATGTTTTTTTTTTATTTGGAAATTGTAGATTGTAGTATCTATTTTTTCACCCTTTAAGGATTTGGCAATATCTCTCTTTGCATTGCAACCTTGTTTCTACATTTATACTTTTTTTGGACTGAAAACCAGAGAGTCGTTTGTAGCAATGGTACAATGAGCTAGTTACATATTGCTATTTTTCTTGCAGGTTGTTTAACAAGCATAAATTGTATGAAGGTGCTCAAGACAACATATCAGAACTTAAAAATGAGATTGAGGAACTGAAACAAACAGTAGCAAACCTGGAGGATGAAGTGGAAGACAAGAATGCAGACATTAAAAGGTGTGTGCTTTTTAAACTGCATAGTTTAAACACACACACGCATGCACGCACTCATGCACACACACACACACACACACACACACACACACACACNCAGAGAGTGCCACATTTTAGCCTGGTTCAACAGGTTTATAAAGAGAGACATGAAGCTGCTGATGAACTGCGAGAACAACTGGAAGTAGTAAAAGAAAAGTAAGAGATAAAAGATCACATTGCCATTCAATTTAAGAAATTCATTCACATTATAAATGTCTGTTAATGTTTTTTTTTTATTTGGAAATTGTAGATTGTAGTATCTATTTTTTCACCCTTTAAGGATTTGGCAATATCTCTCTTTGCATTGCAACCTTGTTTCTACATTTATACTTTTTTTGGACTGAAAACCAGAGAGTCGTTTGTAGCAATGGTACAATGAGCTAGTTACATATTGCTATTTTTCTTGCAGGTTGTTTAACAAGCATAAATTGTATGAAGGTGCTCAAGACAACATATCAGAACTTAAAAATGAGATTGAGGAACTGAAACAAACAGTAGCAAACCTGGAGGATGAAGTGGAAGACAAGAATGCAGACATTAAAAGGTGTGTGCTTTTTAAACTGCATAGTTTAAACACACACACGCATGCACGCACTCATGCACACACACACACACACACACACACACACACACACACAAACACACCTGGCACATGCACACACAAACAAATGCGTTTCACAAAGATACACTTATTCTTCTCTAGGGTAGCGATAACACTTGCCAATTTAGCCAAATGTTAAAGCTGATTTAAGTTGGCTAAACAAAAAATGGTTGATTTGACTTGTTTTAGGCAAATTAACCAATTTGGAGAAAAAAGTGATGAAAAAGTGGTGATTTGGCTAAGAGAAAAAAATTGTCAGCACTACCCCAGCTTCTCGTATATATATAATAAAAACTTATATGTATGTACAATTTGCTTTTATGTTAACAGATTAGAAACAACTATGGGTGATGAGAAGGAAAAGGCAAACATGGAGAAGCATGGCTTGAACTGTGATATAGCAGATCTGAAGGTAGGTGAATTTCAACAGAAATGTTTGCAGGTCAATGCATCAGCCACAGTAATAATGTTATAATGTGTGTGAATTATGAAGAGTAAATGGAATAAATGATAAAGTTGTGTGGATAAAAAGATGAATAGCACTTTCATTTTACCTATTTTTACAGGAAGATTTGCGAGAAGCTAAGGAGCAGATTGCCTTTTTGAGCAAATACAAGGAGGGATATGATAATTTAGAAAAGGGTGAGTTGCTTTTCTTTAGATAATGCACATTGTATGACAAAGAATTTAAAACTGAATCTGGTCTCTATATGACCCAGACTAAATGGCCTTTCATCACTTCATCATTTAATCTAAATAAAATTGACTTTCATGATTCTTTTATTTCATTTTTTATATCCAAAACATAAATCTAGATTTGACATTTAAGTGTATTTTAAGTTGTAAACAATTTGTTCTTTAAAGGAACTTATTTTAAAAAGATAATGGAAGGTTAAATGCCTTATAAAGTCTTGATCATAAGACTTAGTCCTTATTTTTTGATGTTGTGAGCCTTTTATACTTGAATGAATCATAATTTTCATTTTGCAGCATTTACATTCAATCCTAGTGTGGAAGATTCTGAAACATCTAAGAAACCAGTGATAGCAACAAGAAGGGTAATTAAGAGTTACTGCAGAATTTATATGTGCGAAGTTATGCATGTATTTGGTACCATATCATGATGTCAAACTATTTTTGTAAAATGTTTTATTGTCGGTATGAAAATATTCCATGTGACGATTCATAATCAAAATATGCCAATTTAAAAAAGATATGAGGATACAAGATAAAATGATAAAACTAAAATATTCAGTATTTTTTTCTGTCAGGCTCACCTCATCAACAACATAGATGCTGCCAGCAAGCTAGAAGAACAACTGCTTACAGTGGAAAATGCCATTATAGATGGTAATTTTTTGTAAAAAAATCCAATTGAGTCACTGGTTTATATATATTTATGTCACATGCAATTTTTTGTGTACTATGAAAAAAATATTAAAGGCTGTTTTGAAATGACGATGATAATACAACAAAATGTACTTACTGAAAAATGTTTTTGTTTTTTTGTTGCTGAATTTGACAAGTTTATGGTGCAACACAAACTAGACTTTGCATAGTTTTTTCAAAACTTTCCTTGTAGTACTTAAAATACAAGTAAGGGGAGGGGCCCAGGTGATCAGATATGGTACATGTATACCAAAAATTTGCCAAATCTCTCTTTTTTTTCATTTTGCAGAATTTGACAAGTTTTTAGAGGAACACAAACAAGAACTGGTTGGGCTGCAGTTAACAGACAATACCAATGACAAGATGTACTATAGACAAGAACATGAGGTAGAGAGAGTGGATCAAGATGTGAGTGAAATAATTGACAAATTTTATGTTTCACACTTCAGCACTTTACATGTATGTAGAGGCTCTACAAATAATTGTGTATACATGTATCTTTTATTTTGTTTTTGATATAACACTTATTATAAATTGTATGGAAAACGTTTATTTTCCTGTTTTTCTTTTAGCACCTTAAACATTATTTCATTATGAAAAATCCAATCATTTCTGTTGTCAAAATCTATTTTACATTCACAGAAAATTTCAGTTTCATGGAGATGTTTTTTTTTATTTTATTGATGTAGGATAATCAAATGTAACTTAATTTTATTTCAGCTGTGGGTGATGCAAGAAAGGTTCAAGAAGTCAGTGGATGATCTGAATACAGAACTAGAACTGATAAGGCAGCATAAGAAGATGCTTTTAGAACAATTGCAACTTCTAGAGGAGAGCATTAAACCCGAGGAGTAAGTCGCATGGTTTAGGTTAATGTGTGTACCCTGGGCTTTAGATCTGTTGCCTGCAAGCTTTTTCATTAGACACTTAACCTCAGTATTAAGCCACTGACTTATTGGATAGGCAGATGTGTGAAAAGAAGCTGATAGGCATTGGATCTGAAGCTTAAGATAGCTTTATGGTTTGTTTAAAAATATGATGTAAATATGACCAAGAAAATATGAGTGCATTAAAATTAATTTCTTTCAATTTGTCATATGGGATGTTTTGACAGTGAAACCAAAAATATTTATGATTTAAAATGAATTAAAGTTAAAAAATGGGTATTATGACAGTGAAACTAAAAATATTTATGGTTTAAAATGAATTAAAATTGAACCCACATTCTACTTATTTTAACTGCAATTGCATTTAGAGAAAGTTGTTCTGAAGAACAAGTTTGGGATATAATGTGTGGGTTGTTTTATAGAGAGGGAGATGACATGGAGGAAGAAGCAAACAAACCAGAGACCACAAAGCAAAAGGAATCCAGACCTGGAACTGGACAAGGTATGTGGGCTATAATTATAAATTTTAGATGAAAACTACTGCAATACATTCTTGTACAACATGTATCTTAATTGATTTATAATGAAGACAAAAATATTTAGATCAGAGAAAAATTTACTGGATCAAAATCTGTAATTTGTTTCAGAATCTGTCCTATCTGCTGGTTTAGTTGATGAAGAGAAGGATGACGGAGCTGACCCCTTCATCCCACATGAGCGGATTTTTAGCAAATATGCGGCCATGATGTATTCTTCCTCAAACAAGGGCAAGAACTGGCACGAATTCCAAGCTGCAAAGTTCTGTCCTAGCTGTGGTGAAAAGGTGATTTTTTTTCTTTTGAATAGGAAAGTTACTTGTAGAAATAAGTGAGACAGTTCAAAAATAAAAAAAAAATTGTCCATCTTTCTGATTTATGTTTGTACTTAAAAAAAAAATGATATGCAGTTTAAATAAAAAGTAGAGCTTTAGCATTAAGGCAGTATAGGAACAATGCAGCATTGATTCAGAGTTAGGCTAATGTGTGGAAGTCTATTTTTATCAAATGCCAAAATTAAGGTAATGACTTGAGCTTTTCAACGGAGAAAAATAATTAATTCTGGAGTCATTAAAATATATTTTTCAGTAACATTTTGGTCTTTATTTCTGTTTAGAATAGAACTATAAGCCTGTTTTTCAGTTTTGTGTGCTTCCATTTAAAGAGATTTTGTAGATTTAAGAATTTATAAAAATTCAGTATCTGTAAAATTCACATTTTTTTGCATTGAAAAGGTTGAGGCATTACTGTAGTTTATTCTAGAATGTCATTATTTTTTGTGATAAATTAGAAATTATTAAAATTATTAAAATTGTCTATTCTGTTGTGGGTTTTGTTCATAACTTTCAATAATTGAAATAAAAAAGCCTAGCCTATTTTTTATAAAAGTAACAGGACAGACTGAAATATTGAAGAACAAATTCCAAAGAACAAATGCAGATTGATTATATCCTCGTGATAATTTTACTTTGCTAAAAATGCAAATATTATGTTAGGTCTTTTTTTACTGCATTTTTCACTGATTTACTGAAAAATGCAGTATTTGACTTAAAGAACAAATGTCCTAAGGGATGCTGGAAGTCATTGCAATTTACATGAGTATTTTCCTTATTTCTCTTTCAGACCATATTCTGTCCACACAAGATACCCACAGATGAAGTAGTCCTGAAACTTCCACATAACTGCACTCACATCAAGATCACAAGACCAAAAGTCAGGATTAATCAGGAATTAATAGAGTGCGTCAAATATATTGGATACTTCATGTTCCTTGACTTTCTACCCAGGGGGATCCATTAAGAATACTTCAAACAGGCCTGTAGCCTGCAATTTCAAAGGGGTTCTTTTTCTGAAAAAGTGGACCTTTGACCCCAAAACCTTATTGTATGTAAATCATTTTTTACCCAGAGCGGACCTTTTCCTGGCAAAAAGGCAGTTTGTTCTGCCCCCCCCCCCCGACCCTCCAGATTCGGGCCTGTCAAACATAGGCTTAGTTTCTTCTTTTAGAAATGATGATTTAAAAAAAAAATACAGTGTCTGTAAATTCACAGTTTTCCCCATTGAAAAAAGATTGAAAAGATTTTATTTTCTTTGCTGAATCTTTTCGTGATTGTGCATTTCAGAGAAATCCTCAACCGCCAAGAAGATTTTATAGGAACTCCTGCAAGTATAGGTGCCTCCCAGTCACCAGCAGATAGCAGGGAAGGTAGTGCCAGTCCCAAGATGACCAGGTTTAGAGCCATGGCTTCTATGATGGGAAAGATAGAGGCTGGGAGGAGAAACGAACTGCTGGCTTCCCTGTCCACTACAAGAACTCCCACCCCCGGATCTGAGGCACACATGGTGGGTTCATTTACAGCAAATTGTTGTATGATATTAGACAGCAATTTCAGTGGGGTGGTCTTTTATGAAAGATGGACCTTTTGATACCCGTTGTTGACTCAAATTGCATAGAGGAGATCTTTTCTAGCAGAAAGGAAGGTTCTTTTCAATCCCAAACATTCCTTATGTTTAGTTATACATGTAGGTAGTAAGCACCTTTTCAAAGGCAGCAAAATATTACATATTGCTTAAGCAATCTTTCCTGACTTTTATTTTTGACTTAATTGTATATTGAAAATGCTATACATTGCTATATTATATTTCAGACACTGCAAAAATTATTATACTTGGTGATATACTAAGGAGGCTATTTCATTTTTTGTTCTGATTATAATAGTATATTACTTGTACATTTTATTCAGCCAAAATCTGCAGGAACGGGAACTGAACCATTTATGGTAAAACTGGCTGCATGTATTTCAATTTCTTCTAACATCTAGATGGGTCTAACTTAGTTTCCTGTCATAAATGCAATTATTTAAGGATTTGTTTCAAAATGTTTTTATCTTAATTGAAACTTACATGCTGGTTTTGCTTTATATGTTTACATATTGGTACTATGCTCAAGAAGAGTACTCTGCTTATTCCTGGTCTTATGGTGAACTTGCACTCTACCTATGCTTTCTATTTTCTTTTTTTTTTATGTAAACAGTCATAGCAGATATTTATACATATTAACTTGTATATACGGTAATAACAAAAATAAAAGCCAAATGCCAGTAGGGTAAGATATGTGGAAACACAGATAACATTGTTCCTACATGTATACACACCGTACAACAAACAACCCTAAATAGCTTCTACTGGAAGAGCTATGGATGATTTAACCCTTATATGTATTATTATTAAGCTTTTATATAAATTTAAACCATAATATTTACTTTTACTTATTTTGGCATTGATTTCATTATTTATTTAATGGGACACATGGGTAAGAAAGGTGCTTTTTAAAAGCTGTATAGAACATTTTATTTTGCCATTATTCTTTGCTTGTTTTGACTGTGTGGTTTATGTATTCCATTCAAATCTGCATTTTGTTTGTTAGAATTCATTTCAGAATGTCCAGACTCCTCTTTATATGTTTTGTCCTTTTAATTTAGTTTCATATAAATCAAGATGTCACAAATTACACACATTTTACATTTTTTGTACAAACCTTCAATCACAAACTAATCAATCAGAGACGCTGTAAATTTATGAACAGAATTTTTTGTACTCGTATAATGTATATATATATGTTTATGTTATTGTTTGTATACATGTTTGATATGGATTTTTTCAGACTAATACTATCTCCAAATTATGGGATGATTATAAGGACAGAACGCAAATAGAGCGCATCATTCCTTTGCCAATGGCTTTAGTAAGTCGAACTGAACACACACAGATATAATAATATGATTTCCCTCAAGATACATAGTTTTATTGTATATCATGTAATCAACAGCAGATTATCACTCGAAAGAAAGGATTTATGTTGACAGAATCTGTAAATTTGGCATATGTTCTTCTTGATAGACAACAATTTTTAAAATTATGTAATACACTTTCAATTCTTTGGAATATGATAATATACATTTTATCTTGGCCATTTGCAGGACCGTGCTGTGTCTCTTATTCAGCAGTTCTATTCATTTGTTCTGTGGCAAGATGAGGCTGGGTCTGAGGAAGAAGGATACTTCTCTATACTGGTAAAGAAACAAAGGGAGAAACAGCTTATATTTGTCTACAGTTTATCTTATAAATTTCTTTAATCGAAATTACCAAATACGCACACACATACACACAAGAAAATAATTAATATTTAATTAATATGCTGTTGTTAAAAAATAACCATTTTTAAAATAAAAAAATATATATATTTTTTAGCCTGTAACAATGTGTCACTGCTCTGTATTACAGGACAATTTATACTACTTCATGTCAGAGAGGTACATGAAAGAAGACATTACATACTTAACAACCCATGATTTACTGTCTGCCATAGTAGATAACCTGAACAGTGACAAGGTCTGCTGTAGTTTTTTTAAAAGAGATATCACATACTTGATAAAATACCTAATCCTGACTCATTAATACTTTTGTGATAATGTTTGATTTGTTGGAAAATTAAGTGATTTGTGCTTTTTGTTTTGAACCCTATACGGACTGTGATTCTATATGTATGTCTCTCTCTCTCTCTTTTTCTTTTGGGAGAGGGGGGTCATTTAATAACCTTTCTATACATTTTAAACTCACTGGTGCACAATTCCACATAACTTTTTTACGTGAAGATGGTGAGAATAATATGGATAATGTTTTTTTAACATATCGTAACATTTTTTCCTGCTTATTGTAATTTCAGACCATTCAAATATTTGGCCACACATTGATTGGTAACCTAGATGCCTCCTGCATCCGCTATGTTCTACTGATAGCAGATTTTGTCAGCTTGGTGGATTGGGAAGAGGTGGAAGATTTCAGGGCATTTGCATCCATTGTGTTTCCTTTCTTACAGGTGAATACATGTAATAACCACTGCTGTGCCATTTCAGTATTAAAATACTGAAATAGTTAAAGCCTTTCACTTTGATATTGTTGTTTTTGCCATAAGGTCCTTTAAAAAGATACATAATAATCAATTTTTTATAGTTCAGAATCCTTAAAAAATTGAACACCCAACCAATGTGGCACCTCCCTAGCTTCAGTGATACAATTAATTTTAATGGCTAGAGTACAATAATGATTAAATCTGAATATAAGGAGTAAAGTCAATTTGAGTTAACCTAAGTACTTGAAACTGCTGAGGCATGTTTGTTATAGAGATTAATAATCTCTGGAACTAATGGTGGTAATGATCAACAACCAGATTTACTCTTATTTACTCATCTAAATACAAGCATAAGTCTAATTTTTTTCATGAAGAGTGATATATCCAGGTAATGTATTGCTACTCCTTGTCTTGTTTTTTGGTTCAAAGGAAGACGACCTGGAGACTCTCCACATGGGCTACACATCATTCAGTGAGAACAAGATTTCCAAGAAACGAGTGCTGGATTTCCTGATGTACATTATTCTCAAGTACAGGGAACCAAGGTTCCAAGATGTATGTATTGAAAGGGTAGCATTGTTAGAAAGATGTTTTATTTAATGAAATTAAGACAAGGAAAATACAGTATGGGTTGCATTATAAGTCCATAAAAATATGTTGACCTGCTATTCATCATGTTATTTATAATATAATTACATCTAAAATCTAAGAGAAGATGCTTTATTCAATATAATTAAGACAATGAAAATACAATATGGGTTGCCCACATTTCAAGTTCATAGTACCATGTTGATCTGTTATTTGCCATGTTATTTACAATATGATAACACAAACCAAAGGGAAATTTAAATCTTAAAATGCATAACAAATTTATAAATGATAACAGTTGTCAACCATGTTTTATCACAATTTCAAAACTGATTTTTATAAATGATTTATCAATGATAACAGGAATAGTTGTATAGATAGAACACAATCTACACAGGATACATTTGCAACAAAAATAAGTTACAGAAGCAATTCTACACTACAAAATTATATTCATTTCATGTTTTTTTCAGATGGAAAATCGGTTGCTTGCTTTCCCTGCCAGAGAACATGGTCAGATGACAGAACACGAGTTTAACGAGGCAGTGGAGAATTTGGTTCCCCTCCACAGCGAGAAGTTACGAAAGCGTCTGTTTTGGGAGGCAGAGGCACATGTTCAGATGGATGACATGCATGATGTTGTGCCTGTCATGAGACTGGCCCGTATCCTTTTGATAATTTTAGAAAACATATTTATGTCAAAAATATATAGGATAAGTTCTGTCTCCAATGTACAAAAAAAGTAGAATACTTTTAATATCAGAAAAAACATATATGACTACAGGTTGTGATTGAGAAGGTGGGGAGGGCAACAACCATTAGAAGTGTAGAAATACATATTACATATGCTTGGGTACAGCAATACAGCTTCAAGTTTGATTTAACAAGCCGGTGCCTTTGAGTGGTACAAAATGTATGTATACATGATACCAAGGTTGTTATATAAATATCCCTTAATGTTATCCAGAAATTTCCAGCTATCTGGCATTGCTGCAGATAGCACAAATCATCAGACAAACCGTAGCTGATAAAGTGAAAAAGGCAAAAATTAGGACAAAGGGAGACAGAGCACGTAAGTTACATGTTTCATCAGTTCTAATTGTTTTTATTTCTCCTTCATAATGGCACATTTTAACGCATTCAGACCATAAGAAATTATACTTTCATTTTGATTTTTAAAAGGATGATTACATTTACTTTTCATGTTCCAGCCACCAAGGTACAATCTGAGGCAGAGAAGGCTGCAGAGAACCAGATAACAACTTACTCTGATATCAGGAAGATTGCTGTCAGTGTAGCCAGGTAGACTCTTGAAACTTACAGTACGGTTAAATTATTGGTGACAGATTATTGCATCATTGAAATTAGATAGATGTGTCATTGAGTACTTTGTTGGTGGATTCCATTTTTAGAAAGTTTTAGACGTTAATATTTGACTATAATTTTTAAAGGCTAACAAAGGAAAACAGCTCTTGGACATAAAAAGCTAATATTTATAAAAGAGTATGTACTAGTATATGTTACAAAAAAACCTATGAAATAACTCATGTTTTTATTTGTTTAAAATCAATAGTGAAGACTTAACAGAGATGGTAATAAGACAATAATTTTTTGGTTATTTTCAGACGCAAGGCTACAAGGAAGAGAAGAGAAGCAGAAGATGCAGAAATGGATGACACACAATTCTACGGATGATGAAGATTACTGGATAAACAACTACAAAGAGCCAGAGGTTGGGAAAAATTAGAAGGGACTTTTTTTGAAAAAGGCATTTTCTTTAAATTAGTTCTTTTTGGATGCATTGTAAATATAAAATTGTACACTACTAGTACAGGATTTTATGGAATACACAAGTGTGTAACTCTCCATTCATATAACTGATTTAGTCACGTATTAAACGCACTATTTTTATGACAGAAGAATATGTACATGCAATTTTGTGATATAAAATAATTTAGAGAGAGTGAAAGATGTTTTCTTTTTGATTTAAGACTTTTGATGCAGTGTAAAACAAATTGTATGAAAAGTACAAATAGCCAGCACAAGCCAACCCTATGTGTAATTCCAACATCATGTTGTCGATCCAATTTACTTTTTTAACGTCATTTTGGAGTAAATCCCAAATGTACGAGAACTCCCCCCCCCCCTCCCCACACACACACACAGTGAGTACCTATCTGATCACGTAAAGTCCGAAAACTGAAACAAGTATTGCCTGTGGTTTTCGTGTGTTCAGCGTGTGTTAACTACTATACAAGATTATGTCTTCGTACCTCTGAGTGCGGTTCGTGTGATATCGTGTCACCTTCTGTACATATCGTTCTTGCCTCAGCCATGGAAGCATATATATATGCCCCCAATGCTTCTGCTGGGACCATCTTCTCGCGAATTTCAAAACCCCATGTTCGTATGGCCATCTGATGTCAACGTGGGGACTGTGTTACGCCAACCTAATGACTTGTCACTAGGCTGAAGGTCATGCTGTGGCCAGGTAATTTCACTTTTTGCTGCGCCCTGAGGTGGGCGGACCGACTTTGATTTTATCACAAATGAATAAATGCCAAAGATCACCTGAAAAAATCAAAATTTTACGTAGATCTACTAGTTTGTTGTAATATTAATTATAAAAGGCATCGAACGCCAGAAGGATGTATTAGGTTTATTTTAACGACAGGAATACATGTTTAACCCGTGCTTCAAATAGTTCTATCTCGTAATAGTTCAAATGAAATATGTTTTAGTTTAGGGTCCAGTAATGATTACTGGCTCCTAAGTTTTTGTTACCTTGTTTTCAGTATGTTTAGGGCCATTTGTTTTGAACGAATATGGCATACATAACGCCGCTTTTTACCAAATCTTTCTTTAGGATGAGCGTGCACTAATTCATATCATTAAAACATTATATAAATACATGATAAAAGTCTGAAAATTGAACACCTAACATGAGATGAAAATGTTAAGTACATGCATAAAAACGTTCTGTTCGACTACGAATCACGAGCACAATCTCTTAAATAACAATAGACTGTATGTATAATATACAAGATAGCCATAATAGGCTTTAAATCGACAATTGTTGAAATGTTATTACATCGAATATTAAATCGAAAGTTATTTTACCTATGTGAGACCTGTGCCTTCTAAACTCGAGATTATGCAAAATTTATTTGTGCTGTTGTACAACCATTTTTGTGGTTCTAGTTCCAACGAAACAATGTAATTCAAATACACAGCAATCTCATCCAACACATCGCTCTAACCAATACATTTTTACATTGAGTTAATGTCTTAAGCAACATCTCGATTTAGCAGTTTGTATGCGATGATTCCTATCACAGCAGTGAGGGACACGTAGGGAAACAATCTTCCCCCCGAGTTACACCCGTCTGTATTGCAGGACACGACACAGCCGTCCATCTCGGTACCGTCCAGAGAAATGCGCCGTATCCAGCCACAGTGGCTTACGACGTCGATCTCCGTCTCCGAGGTAGTGCCCCCACTGTTTGTTACGCAAGTGCGGACCGTCACGGTGTAGTTATTAGGCTCTGTAATGAGAAATGAATAAATGAATGGATATTTGAAAAATAAAATGATGGTGCGAAAAGCATGCGTCTTGAGTATTTGAGATTGATGTATGTAGTTTAAACGCTTACTTATTCTGAACATCTTTAAGAAAGACCTTTTGTATGTTTTTTTTATTGATAATGAGTGTAAAGTGTTGGTGGAAAAAACCCATCAAATCAATTCATCTCGATTTTGATACAGCCCCCATCCTTCCACAACATATGCTATTCACTTATAACGTGCACAAACGTGATTTTGCAAATTGGCCGCTTTATTTGCTCGTGTCAGTTTGATTCATTGGTTAAAAGGCATGTTACGTAAAAAAAATTATATGAGAAGTGATATCCAGAGGGTATTTGACAGGAGTCAACAAGGTAATGGTTATGGAAGTTTGGTTATAGTTGGGAAAACGTTGAAGGCCTCAGAATATTCTTGGAAGTAATGGTTTTTCTTTTACAAAATCCTTTAACTACCCCTTAAATCGTTTAATACGAACCATCCACGCCGATGAGTTTAATACAGGACGTTGCCGGGAAAAGTCCGTCTTGGTCTTTTCTGGACCCCATACAATCTGGCACATAATAACTTCCATTTAAAGGTTCAAATTTATCCTCACATGCAAGCTCACTGTGATTTATCGATGTACACACGTAACAACCAATTGTAGACACTGTAAAACAAAAATACGCGTTTTTTATGATTATTGTTTGTTTACATTAAAAATATAACTCACATGTAATTATTGCATTCGCTTTTCTTTCAAACATTTCGAAAGGTGAAAATATAATCTTACAAAACAACTCATTTAATGGAAAATACTTTTTTTGTATCTGAAAAGTGAATTCCCCTACCTTTACCGACGAGAAAAAACATATAACATAGCGTAATAGCGACGCCCATTACTAGTGAACGTCCCATTTTCACATTATGTAGTCATATCTGAAATGAAGAAATGCACTTTTCTATAACTGCCACTGTTTGATGCATTAAACAACAAAGAATAAAAAAAAATTACAAATAAACTTACAAATAAAAATTGCAACATAAAATGGGTATCGGTACGTTCAAGATTACCAAAACTAACTCAAAACTTTACAAAAATCGTTTAACAGCCAAATGTGGCAATTCGCCCCCACCCATATCTGAAACTGATAACAAGTAATTAGATCAAATAACGATGTACCCAAGAGATTTCTATCTAGTCCCAGTTATGAAATCTTTATTCTCAATCGACCGATTTCTCTCCCCAGTGGCTCCTACTCGAGAAACCGATCCCACGCTTTGATTAAGTCATCTCCATAGTGTACGGTACCCACTGGAGTTAATAAGTTTCAAACTGTATCTGTATTGATTTTTGACAAGAGTGGTTAATCGTGTTTTCAAACAAAGTATTAAAAACAACATTGGTCAGAGGGCTAAGTATATGGCGTCTGGTCAATACGTTTCTGTGGCTTATTATTCTATTATTCTGAAAACGTGCAATAGAGGCAAATTAAAGTAAATAAAGCAATGTGCTGCTGTCCATGCTTTATTTCCAAAGCCGTAAAAAATCCGCAGACAATCAATGTAATCGTAATCAAAGCTCTAAATGTGGGCCGAAATGGCTATGGTAAAAGATTTAGATCCACCAGATTTTATGCGGATATAAACGCCTAATTATAATAGATAAACTCTGTGCTTGCTTTTTTCTATTAAAAGACTCACTGCGTTGTTCAGGATTTTCTCGTTTTTCGAGGTGGATTTTTTCACAACTAACCCTATTACTTATTCATAACATGACATTTCAGCCCCAGAAGTCCAATGAATAATAAAACTCGCTTATTTAACACAGGTAGGCCTAATTCGTCTTCACACTCACGGTAGGCCTACATAGGCTCTAGCGAAAAAATCCCAGTCTTAAAACTGCAGTTGTAGACATGTTATAAAATGAGCAATATCTCACGTTATGTGCCAATTCATTTTAACCAGCAATGGCATTTTAGTATTACAAAATTCAACATTGCTGAAGAAATCATTTGTATATTTTGTAGGGCCTACCAAAACACTTTGACCTAAGGCATTTCAACAACATAACTTAAGCAATATATATAAGCATATATACAGGTGAAGCCGAAATACGCCGAGAATGATGCCGATGGCAGCATGTAAAACATCCCAAACCTCTAATAGATCACTACACCAGTAAAATAAATACTCACAATGCTTCCATGGAAATCCGCTATTTCGAATTCATGGTCTAGAATGCGACAAATTGACCGAAATTGGTGATATCTATTAGATATCAGAATCAGTCTGGCTGTTTAATTCCTAGAAAACAATATGGCGGCTCCTGACTCCTAGAAATCAGGTATAAGCTGTATTCAGGTCAATGTAAATGCGGGATGCGCACAGCAACTTCAGACAAAAAATCAATAAACCTAACCTTCGCACTCGTCTAATTTCAACGCTCTCACATTAGCAAAAGAGCGCCATCGCGTATGGTAAATTATATACATCTTCTAGGGGCCATCGCGTATTCCAGCTTCTCCTCGGTTTAATTTTCATATATGAAAATAAAAAGGTTTGAACGCAATCAAAAGGATCTACTTAAGAGCTACTTGGCATTCTTTGTCGTCACTGAACACGATTCCCTACTAGGCATAAACTGACAACTTTGAAACATGCAGTTAACTCATTTCCTGGTAGCTCTTCAGGAATGCCAAAAGTTTCCAGTTAAGGCTTTATATTTCAATTTCATATTTAATAGACCAGCGTAGTCAGGCCTACCCAACTACCAGACTCGGCACCTAAGGATCCTGAATTAACCGGTATATCGGACCACACTACCCGTTTTCAAGGTGTGTGTCAGATCGCATTTCGGAGTATCAGTCAGAACACCGACAGGATGAGCCCTGGCATGCTCTTCTGTCACTTTGATTGGATAGTAAACGATTGTCGTAAAATCGCTATATGATTTTAAAACCGGGCGCATAAATTTGAAAGCCACCTAAATGAACCTTAGACTGCCACATATATCTAATACAATGCAAAAAAGCCCTATCAAAAGTGGTTAAAACATTCAAACCGAATGTCGTAAAGTCCCCATATACCCCCATAGAGACAATAAAATATAGTACTCTAAAGTAAGAGTACAGTTTCAGGTTGTTCAGCCGAGCGTGGATGAGCCCCCAGCCGTGCTACAAAATTTGTTCTGGGGTATGATACTCCGAAATGCGATCTGACACACACCTTGAAAACGGGTAGCGGGGAACTTAATTCAGGATCCTTAGGTGCCGAGTCTGGTAGTTGGGTAGGCCTGGTAGTTTTCACATAAGCATCTGACCCTCATTTCATTTCTTTTGGTTAGTAAATTTGTGCATTCACTTGTTAATATTTTCTTTAAAAAATAATAACACCAATAATTAAAGGAAGTATTGAGGTTGTATTTTTCGTTTCATCAAAGTATGTTACAAATTCTTCAAATAGTTATCAACAAATATTCATCAATATATATATTCAATGTCAATTGCAAATGACTGGGGTACTCGTTTTATATAAAACAAAAACAGAAAAGGGGTATAAATGAAAGGAGACAATATGTACAATAGTGAGACTAGTCCAATGACTTTGTGACCTAATATTGTGACAATGACAATATATATATATAACACAATGACAATGTATTACACAACTGATATTTGAAAAAAAAATCTGTTTAGAAATTACAATTGGCAAAGTAAACTATATTAGTAGAACTACTTTTTATGGTCCCCTGGAAGATTAAGTTTGAATTTTTACACCTATGACCTGACCATTTTGTTTAAATTTGTCTGGAAGGGACATATTTCACCTAGGCTGTACTAGCTAATAATGAAACTAAAATTACAGATACAAATGCTAAATGACAATGGATTACAACATACAGATGAAGAGTTACCAAAAATCATGGAAAAACTGATAATCTAACTGAAGCCAGCAACTTACAGATCAAAACCATTCAAGAAATATGTGCTTCTACACTTGCCAGTAAAAACATTTCCTTATTTAGTCAAAATAGATTGTCTCAAAATTTATGTAATTGCTTATGTGTATTAACAATGGAAGTAAAATTTGGTAGTGTCAATCACAAAACGAAGAACAGTTATTCCAAATTTGCTTGTGCATTCCATACAAAATAAACTTTCAAGAAGACTGATACTTTTTTAAAATTCTGTCCCCTATTTTACCTTTTGGTGCAAAGTTTCTATAAAATGTCCTGCTTAAATTTCACCATCTATCACAATGTTTATACATTTACTTTGGGTTTCATTAGCCTGTTCCTATGATCTGTTCCAGTCAGTTTGAATTTTTCTCTCTTTCCTTGCATAGTCAGAATACTTAATATTGAGACTACTCAACAAGCTGCAATTCCTCTATGCCAAATTAAATTTAAAATTGATTCTATTAAAAACATCACTACTATTAAATTTATGTCAAGTAATATTGCATACTGCAATTAGTAATTGGGGGCACCTATAAAATAGCAAAAGCCCCTCTTGCATTGATAATTGTTCACACATCACAAAACATGCTTTCACATCATATACTATCATCTATTCATTGCAGATATTACACACACTGCCACACTCTTCTTCAGACAAGAGACAGTTTCACAAGAATCTCATATTGGTGAGCTTAATCCTGAACATGATAACATTTCATTTAAATAGTGCCAGTGAAAGATCCTTCATTACAAACCAATACTTCACAATTGTGTTCAAGATCACACCTAATGCAATGCCATGGTCTGCATAGCACCTTAGCATATTTTCCATCAATAAGATGCTGATCAACTCAAATTACACTTTCAACTATACATATTTCTCATGGTCACCTATATTTAACACAGCCATCCCTATGCTAGCTTTCTTTAAATCTACATGCAAGAAATGGACCATGGGCCTCTAAAAATTATAGAACAGTCAAATGACAAAATACTGTCCATCTGCCTACTTTCCATTCTGTTATTACCAATTTTACTACTACAAATTATTGCACAAGCCAAAGTAAAAGCAATAGCTCAGTCAAGTGCATTGTGCATAGCACCTCTAGCAAAACATACAATCAAATACTAATAAAAGTGAGTCTTATTAAATATCCCAGACCACAGAGGTCTTGATATTTCAACCCCTGCCAGTGACCTGTTCTACACTCTGCATCAAAAAAAGGCATCTTCATTTTTGCACTAGCAATATCATGGTCCCCGAAATTGCACTCTAATGTGTACTGAGATCATCATTATGGCCTACATATGTGATGCTGTCTCTTCAAGGACTCTCATAGTCCCTGTTGTCCTGGAATGGAAGTCCTTCAAGGACTCTCCTCGTCACTGTTGTCCTACATTGAGCTCCTTCAAGGGCTCTCTTTGTCCCTGTTGTCTTTGAATGAAGTTAGCACCTGAGAGAATTTCCTTTTGTCTGTGGACATGCAAATTGTTTCTATGCACCTGAACAGTTTGCTGGCTGCTATGTTCTCTGGTAGCTTGGTAAGGAACTGTGCAAGGTGGATAAAATCCATGTTGAGCAAAATGTCTTCATACAGTTTCAGTATACCTGTAACAAAAATTTTACCACAATTACATAACATGTATCATATCAATCATGGTACCATTGACAGTATGTACAAGGCTTAATTTTCTTTCACTATTTTATTTATTAATTTCTGGCCGATTCATTTTAGTGACTGTGGAAATATGACAGCAGGGACCTTGTTTCACAAAATATCTTTAGCCCATATGTTGGCCTAAACTTTTACACCGACATTTTAGTCTACTTTGCTCTAAGATGAATCGATTATGCCAAATAAAATATATCGTGGAAGAAATTAATGCTGTTTTAGACAAAAGTTATTCTACCAAAGTGAACTTTTGCAGATTTAGTCCGATTTGAAACAGACTAAAAGAATGGTCTGGAAATTTAGACCAACATTTTTGTCTAAAGTTCTATTGTTGATACAGGCCCTCCAATAGAAGAAGTCATATCACTCGGATTTAGTCACCCAATTAAACCCTGGAGAGAGGCCGCTGTGTACTGGCTTACCTAGTGCTGTCCTGAACAGGAACTCCTCTCCATCTCTGCAGAACACATCCCAGACACGACTGGCCACATCTAAGGGAAGGGACTTGCTGTACAGGGTAAATATCCTGGGGAACCAAGCATTGGGCATTATTCAAACTTATTCCATCAAATAATGGAACTTTCAAGTGGAATAACAAAATTGTAATGTGATCATTTCCACACTCAACACACCATTCCAATTTAACAATTTCACACATTATCAAAATTGTAATTAGCTGAATTTTTTTGTCCATTTCTTGGTGAGCGATAACAAGGATATGGATGCAATGGTGACACATAAAAGGCAAACTTACACAATATTATCTTATCTTTACTGGTCTTACTTATAGTTAACCCCTTACTCCCCATACTTCACATAAGTGAAGCTAACCCAAGTATAAAACAGGGCAAAACCACAGACACAAAACTGACCCTTTAGAAGTTTCCACTTACCAGTCAATTATGTACAGGTCAGGGGTGAGGTTCTGGTTGTCAAAGTGAGAGTAGAGGGTAGGTAGATTCTCCTGGAAGAACACCTCATAGGCAGAGAAGTAGGCTTTCATCTGAAATGTGTAACAAGTATTACATGAAATCACAGTATCATTTTGAGGTCTGAAAATCAAAGTTAATTTCTAGCAAAGTTACTCATTACAAATTATCTTTTATTTCATCTCATTGCCAGTCATTTACTTTTAAACCCAATATTTATAAACAATTTTAAGCACAGCACTGATTTCACTACAACTCTGTTATTCATAATTTTTTTTGTTCAAAATGCTAATATGAAACAAACAACAACAACTAGTGCATAACATGACCAATTATTCTATTTAGAATAAGTGATTTATGAAATTAATATTACCAGTCTTGTAGAAAGGAAAAGCACTTACCACATTTTCATCAACTCTGAAGAAGGCCACTTGACATGGTTTATTGAGTAAGTTAGCAAAGCAGATGAAGGCATCAGCCACGTCCATGTTGAGAATTAACACTGCTGCCAGAAAGGACATGCCCTGGACCTGAATAAAAGCATAAAGTTCAGTGCAATGAGGAAATTAATATTTAAATTGGGATACTGAACATAGGGGTAGATGTTTTGATTCTATCTGAAATCCACTTTTGCCCTTAAATGTTTAGTAGCAAAACTTCAGCATTTTACAAACCCAGCTAGAATAAAAATTTTGACCATGTTTAGTGGAAAAGACAAGTAGTATGAGGTCAGATTCCATCAAGTTGACAAAAGATTTACTAACAATTCATCAATATTAGTAGTCCTCTTAACATGTAAATGGTCCATGAACCCTCACCCCAACTGTTAATTCCTTTGAACATGAACAGCACAATATGGAGCATTTATTGTGAGAAATCACTCCTACATCAAAGCCCAGGTTATAATTATACTACCACCCAAGGGTAAAATTCATCAAAAGTATTGGAAATGTTTCTAGGAAAAACCAGTCATTTCCAGCATACAGACAAAAACAATCTGACACTTCAAACATACAGACAAAAACAATCTGACACTTCAAACACAAATAGGTCTACTACTATTGTTATATGGTAACTCTAATGCAGCATAAAGAGTCGCCTCATATAGAGAAGATTTAAACCTCTACTGAATAGAAACAAAACAAGTAATTCCTAGAAATAACCAGTGAACACTTTTTCCCAAATGAGCCACAGAAACGGAATATATCAACAGAAAAAAAGTGAACTTACATAGCCTACATCAGGTCTGTAGCAAGCATATGCCCCCAGTAGACTATGTAAAAGGTCATGGTATGGACCACCCTTTTGGAATATACAGAGCTGAGGAAAAGTTCTGGACACATCCAACTTAATCAGTTCAACACTGGCTTCTTTGCAAGATGCTGGCTCTGAAATTTTGGAATAAAAAAAATTTAACACAATCAGGTAATACTAACAAGAAACTTATTCCAAAACGTTCATACCATTTAATATTATGCCATTATTTTTCTAATATAATTTAATTCACTTTGAGTATTATTGAAAACAGATCCTGTTCCGGATGTAATCAAGTTAAATTTCTTAGCTTTTAAGTACTATTTAGCTACATTAACCTGTACACATGTAGGAATGCCTAGATAACCTTAAGCAGCTTTGTTAAATGGATTACGTTTTGATAAAAATTATTCATTGTCAAATATTCATTAATACCTGTTGTACTTTCATTATCATCCCCAGTTTCTGCCATCAACCTAATCCTGTCCTTGGCTCTACTCACACAGATTTCATACAGTTCTGTAAAAAAACAATGGAAGCTTTTAGGGCTTGGAACTATTATCTTTGCATTTAAAAGCAAAAGTAACTATATTAATAAATATATTATTACTTTTATTGACAGCTTAAAGAGAACATATAATGGAAATGAGATTACTTCCCAGCAAACATTTTCTCTTGTTAAATTTTCATAAAAAAGTCAGAAAAATCTGACACTATCTTCAGGAAGAATATGGACAGGAAACCCTGTTGAGAGCACGCCCTTTTAATGCAGCCATTTAGAATTCAGAGGAAAGTGCCATTCTTGTGTGGGCCTCAGATTAAAGTGAATGTGCAGTGTTAACTTTCAGTCTGACATAAAATAATGATTAAATTTTCATTTTCAGTGGCATACACCTGAAAATATGATAACCTTGAAACTTAAATTATTTATGTTGTTAAAAAAGTGGCAGAATTGGATGTAAAATTGAAGACCTTTTATACATGAATTTTTTTTTCCTTTTTGATTCTGTTATGTGAAGACCGGAGATATCAGTTTTCCAAAATAACAATTTTTGAAAAGGTTAAGCCAGAAACATCTGCTCAATCAGGCATTGTATGAAGTCATGTATAGCCCACGTCTTCATCTCAAATAACAAACCGACATTTATTTCCTGTACATATCAGCTGATTTCCCATAAAATGTATGTTGTTGGATGTATGCTATTTGTGCTTAATAGTAAAACAACATTCATGACTTAAAATGATAAAACTATGTGATGCCATAGCAACTGAAGCATCATTACCTATGGATTTCTGGTAACAGTGTACCCTATTTTAATGAATGATGTAGAGATACATGTGACCTTTTAGTGTAGAACAAACATTTTGTGTAGTGTAGTGTAGTATATAAAAGTATAAACATTTAGTATAAACTAGATTCGTAATAGACAACCCCTAGTATAAGCTTATGCCATTTTTATCAAGAATCTGTCAACAAAATACACAGGGATGGACTGCCACTGTGTGAAAAAGTCTGAAAATATACTGTGGTGTCCAGACATAACCCCCCTCCCCCCCATTTTTATTGCAGACCCAAAAAGTCAGAAATCCGAGGATAGTCAGAAAAATCTCATCCCTGAATACCTTGAGTGAGGTTGAGGTCATTCCCAATGGCTAACTTCCACAGCTTCCCACGCACACACGGAGGAACACCCTGCCACCACAGGTCACGGGCCTTCTTTGAATTTTTTCTGAAGAACAAATTATTATTATTATGAAATGCTCAATTTCAAACACTGATAAAAGCACAATAAATAGCAATGGTAATAGTTCATCATTTACATAACAGGAAATGAAACAATTTGACACTAACAAAAATACATTTACGATAATGACCGATTTTTTCAATGGGGAAAATTTTTGTAATCTTTAGAGAAATATATTATATTTGTATAGCATTTGTGGTGTGCTTACAGTACAGAATAGAAATAAAGTGTAGCCTGCCTGCCAACTCAATAGGAATGTTCTAATTTCAAGCATCTTTGAGTTAAAAAATACAGTATCTGTAAAAATTCAAATTTTTCCTCCATTGAGAAGATCAAGTCATTATTGTAATTTTTTTTTTTTGAAAACAAGTTTTCGGATAGAGTTATTAGGTTATAATAGTACATCTTGACACAATATCCAAGCCCACACAGTGTGCATGTGATGACCCATCTCTTACAAACAGTTAGGCAAAATTACCACCTACAAAGCTTTGTTTTCCTACCTATCTCACTCTGGTGAACATAAGTTTATCTAATCTGAACTCCAGGTCTATTGTTACATTACTATCTGTAACTGAATATCTCCCATGATAACAATGTAAATGTTTGTTTTACATTTCATAATCTGTAAATGTGCAGCCAGGGTTAACAAAATAAGGCTCCTGAAATCCCACTATTTTCCATATAAACATATCATCCTGAGTGGGTAATTTTTCTGGTGTGGTTGAAAAAATTCACCCAGAGAGCATGGAAAATTTTCACAAACTTAAACAGAGAAACCGGTCCATAGTAGCCCAATGAATAAACAGAATATGTTTAATATGTAATAAGTATAGGTCTAAAATATAAGCCACATTTTCTTGCTAAAAAACAGGCCCAATATTTAATTTAATTTTGTTGAACTAGTACTTAGGATTGATTTATTTGGCTCCAAGTTATAGTACAATTTAGTTTAAAAGTTTAGACCAATTATCAGGCTAAAGTTCTTTGTGAAACCGACCCAAAGAAGAACTTAACTATGGTCGCATTTGGAACAGATGACTTACTGATCCATAGACTAAATATGACAGACCTCACATCAAAGGAAGCCGTTTAATCCCTTGACAGTCTCTCCATCTCCACATGTCATCAAATCTCGCCTCTAAGATTTAATTGCTAGGCCCCTGCAGGGACGGCACATGCGGAGGCGGGGAGACCATTAGGGGACTATAAGCAGCCACCTTTAAACTGGGTCGGCCATATATGATCCGCGGATCTGTAAGTCCGAGTCATCTGTTCTGAATGCGACCTATGTTTGTGGTTTACGTACAAATTATCCCAGTGAGGCAATATCTCTGTGTTCCAGACATGGACTGCTGCTGTCAGTTGTTCTTCCAGTTTCAACTGTTGCTGAAGTTGCTTTTTGCGCTGCTTTGCTTCCTTTAGTTCTGTAATTTTCAAAAACTTCAAATGAAACATTACTTTGGTATGTTAAAAACTAGGCATTATTCTGTGCACCATCATTTCTGACTTGACTAAAAATGCTGCTGCAAAATGCTTGTAACAAATTTTTTTCATATAAGTATACAAAATACAAAAGTGAAATGGGGAAAATGAAATGCCATCGACATCAGTAAAAATGTTCCTAAGGTCAGCGTAAGCACACTTAGCGAGCCACATAAGCCTTCAACAATGAAATACAACCTAAAGACATGTGGTGTACTGAGGAAATGGGAGGCCATGTGTAACCTGGCCAGCCTTAACTGTTGATAGGAAAGCTTATGATAGATAAACCACTGAGGTGAATTTTACTGGAGCAAAGTTCTCACAACCTATTACAGCTCCATAAGAAGAAAGCTTCCAAACTAAGTACACAAATGTTTATCAATACTGAAAAGTGAATGGGCCAATTTCAGGACAGAATTTTCTGAGACCAACCTTCTCCTGTTACCAGCTGTGGGTGTTTATAAAAATATAGACTGGCTGGGTTTGTGGAAGTAGGGAGTTTTAACTGAGTATATTTGTACAACATTGGGGATGACGGTTTACCCTTATGCAAGGAATTTCAGAAATGTTCACAAAAAATTCTTCAAACAATGGACAGTTGGCCACTGGCCATGTTGTACAATTTACAGGACGAGATGTGTTGGGCAGATGTAATAATAATTTTTTTATATCAAAAAGAAGTACAGTGCACATTTCTGAAACTGGCAAGTGAACAATTAATATAACAGTGTATTCTTTATCAACTTAATTTACACTTTGATTCACCTGAATATAGAATTATAATTATTTTGCTGAATAAAAACTAACCTTTTTTCCTTGCAGCTTCCACCATAGCCTCATATTCCAGTCTGTGCTTTTGTTCCTCTTCAGGAGATTTGGCAGGGAGGTGTCTGGAAAATTCCAAAATACAATCCCTTAACTTAATTGAAAAAGATACCTTATCGATGCCTATTTTAATACTGCAATCCATAAAATAAATAAATAAATACCAACTTCAACATTAATGGACAAAATGTACATCAGTCTCACCATACTGTTGCCTATTACTGTTAATAAAAAATATCCAGGGATCTGATATTTTGTTGTGGCTATCATGATTATATAAAATGTCTTTAATGTTCATGCAGCATCAGCATTGTCTGACAGAAAATGGCTTTTGGAAGCTTTGGGGAATTGCAAATCTAAAATGTCTGGAATTTCTTTTTTTTTTCAGAGCAGGTGGAGGAGGGAGCAATTCTCATCAGAATGTGCCAATTGCATGTGCAGCTATCCACAATATGCCTAGACAGAAATGGAAAAAAATCTTAAGGAAGAAACAAGGTTGGACAGAGGTTAAAAAGAGCCCCTAAACTTAAACAGGACCAGCCCTTCGTTAACACTTATTTCTTTTATCACATTATCTATAGGAAATGTAAGCTACTGATGTAATGGTACCAAGTTTAATACGACCTCACCTGTAAGACATTAATCACTATCCACGCCATATTTATTGATGTAATGCTATTTCTGTACAGCAAGCATTTTCATGTAGCATACATTATATCAAGAATGTACGATTATACATATCACTACATAGGAATTTGGAGAACCCAAGCATGTTAAAGAACAGCCAAGAAGACTAGCTTCAAAATTACTGGACACCAAATTGATTTTAAAACTGATATTAATTTTAATAGCTGTCCACTGTTTAGATACCTGATCTTTTACATGTCATTTTTACCTACCAAGTGGATTTACCCATATATTTTTTATGCAATTCAATTAAGATAAGCACTACATGAAGGACTTATAATCAATATCATAATCAATGAATTTGTTCATAATGTTATGCAATCTGATAATCACAAGGCCTTATTTGATATAACGTCACTGTTGATTACTGTTAGAACATTGGTGCCTGGGAATCAAGAGGCCAGGGTGCATTTTTGACACTTCATACTATACGGGATGTGTGTGTGTGTGTGTATATATATATATATATATATATATATATATATATATATATATATATATATATATATATATATATATATATAAAAAACAGACTATCCAGTGTTTGCTAACAAGTAAGATATAAATACATATTCCAGGGATTGGAAAGTTAACACAGACTGCAAAGAAAGTTCTACAAATATTCTTTTAAAAAATCTGCTACTAAAAAGAATGTAAGACAGAGTGCTATCACTTAGTTGCATTTGAATTATAAATAAGTTAAACAATGAAAGCAAATGAAGACAGATGATTAAAATACATTATTCTTCATCACTGCCTTGAAGAGAGGCCATGAACCCATTTCCAATATGGAATGTATAAAGAAGCACTACTTCAGTCTTGTATCTGTCATCTTGTAAAGAATGCATATCAGATAAGAATCCTTAATTTGCAGAGTAGCAACATCATAGGAAAACTTTTTATACAGATGCTATCATCATCTTACACTAGTATCAACCGCAACCATGCAGCTATAAAGTAAAACGACACCAGGGGTTTTAATTCAAACAATTACCTGAATTTTATACTTCAGCTAAAGGAGACTTATGTAAATTTGCCAATCAAATTTGATTTATAATTGATGTTAATATAGATAGACTAGCACCCCTTGTTATTGAAGGCTAAGATTTGAAGGAGCTTATTAGTGCTAGTACAACTTCAGGTCCAATGTGTGCCAGCCTTTTTTTCATTTTTAATGTGCCTATATGGAAGGTTTTAAATGAAGTAGCTGGCTCTGAAACATCTACTAGGTGATCCTTACTCCAGCTACTCATTCTCTATACCCAAATAAGTATGGCACTTGATATCTTAAATCAGTGTAAATTACGGGAAAAAAAGAGAATCATTGCGAAGTTAAAAAACCAGGTTAAATTTTATGTCAAATATATCTAAATTTATTCAAATTGGCTGCATTTATTCTTCATAATACAAAAAGATGATACCATGCAACTATTATATTAATAGCATCACATCATAGCACGATGTTGTTTTACATTACATCCATTCAACTTACATATTGTGTCTTGAAAACTAAAGAACCTAAATATATTTTTACAAAGCAGTAGCTAATATGTAGCACTACCAAGAAGACATGCTAAAGTGCATGCAGTTAAAAAGGTTTTTGAAAGCATCATGTCTATCAGGTTCAGATGTTTTTCTCTGGGTACAGGTGTGCAGAGACAGATACTGTATCAATGTTATGTCAGCAATGCATGATGATTCAGTGCCATCATTGGGAGATGATTTCTAAAGGAACTACATTGTGGTGTGTTGCATAATGTTTCACAGCTAGCTTTTTTGCTCAGGGAACTGAATTTTAAACACCAGTTGCCCAACAACACAGCAATTAGTTGTGCCAAAGCATGCTGGTGAAATTTTGTAGCCATTCAACCAAGCTGTGTGATCTGTACTCTGCTGTCCCCTGTATACACAATACAATGTAAGAAAAACACAGATGATTATTTCTATATGCTATTGATTTTTCGAAAATTTTCTGTGGAGAATACATTAGCTTCCAAATTAATTGATTCCAATTTTCAAGGCAGAAAGCAATAGACATTTTCTGACAGAAAATGGGAAGCCAATTCCTCTAGGAAATAACCTTGGGCCACAAACAAAAGAAAACATCTCACTTTCCTAGAAAGAACCATAATTTGAACTGGTATTGCTGATCAACAACTAATAAAGACTTGTGTGTGTTTTTTTTTTGTGTGAATGCTACGTGGCATATTTTACTCACATTGGGCGATTCTCCAAGATTAGTGCTGTTGTAGAGGCAACTTCAATGTCCTTCCTGAGTCTCTCAGCTGGTTTATTATGCAGCAAGCGTTGACGTGCCTGGTACTCTGAAGAAATCTGCTGTGGATTTTTAGGCGAAGTCTCCTTTGGGGGGACTTTCCCAAACAACTTCCAGCCAGGTGCACTTTCCTGTACCACTGTTTCTTCTGATCGTTCTGATTGCTGCTTTGGTTTTCTGGAGAAAATACCCCTAAGAAAAGAGTAACAGAGAACATTTTTAAAAAAGACTTTATGACAAATTGAACTTCATGAAATATTAAGATGGGGATAACAGTTTTTGTTATTTATTATTATTATTAACTGGTTTTCTGAAAATGTGTGAAGTTCTTGTAAATGTGCAGTGAAATTGAAGTACCAAAAGCTAAAACATTACAACAAGAAAATGAAATAAAAACGTCATACTTATGTGTGTTGTTCTTTTGATGCAGCGGTAGGGATTTTAATATGGTAAGGTCTACCATTTAACTTCCCTTAGTTGGGATAACTATCTTTAACTTAACATAAAACTGACATTTGTTTCCACTAGGCTCACAATTCAGTTCAGCTTAAATTGTCATTAGAAGAGATTTACTGGACATTTAAGTGACATGTACCAAAGGACACAAGCATTTTTGTTATTATTTACTAATATTGATTATATAATGTATAATCAAAATTAGTAAATAATAACAAAAATAATATACACTTCAAATGTGGAATGATCCCCAAGAAAAATACATGACCTTCATATTCACTTTCTTATGTTTAAATAATTGAAGACCTATACCCTAGGACCCAAAAGAACAAAATATCATTTTTTTTTCACAAAACTTACTTGTCATTCTTTTTAAAATCTACATGGAGAGCCACAAGTCCAAGCATTGTACTAATATATTCATCAGCACTTCTCAACACCACAGGCTCTCTATCTTAAAATGACAGCCTTAGATGGACCATCCTACTACTAAGGAGCATGTTATTGAACAAGACAGGTGCAGCAGTATGGCTTACTCATGCTTCAAAGTACAGTGGCAAGGCACATCTAGTGACATAATTTGGAAGGAACGCCATAAAAATACAGGTTATCAAGAACTTGTGGATGTAACAAATGGCACTCATTTCAGCCCACATAGTCCATATTGCTAATAACAGGGAACCCTTTCAAACAAGTTTCAGTACTATTTGGGCTTGTTTTGGCATCATGTTCAAGAATGTGTTGACAATTCTCTTTGGAAATGTAAGAAATTTTATTTTTTTGATAATTTTATCATTTATGTTGTTAATTTCTTTATTTTTATTTTCTTGAAAATTATCAGCTTTTTTGACATAAGAATTTTTATACTAGAGTGAACCAAGACTGTCATTATTTTTCAACATACTAGTTGTTCTAACTTACTGGCATTTTTACACATTTCATATAAATTCATCTTTTTCAATGCTTGTTTATTAATATTATTAATAACCACACTTGATTTTAATTTGTTAAATTTCATTGTCAGATCATATTTATATTCATTTTATACTTTTTATTAAATATGACAATAAATTATTTACTTGTATAATAATTATTATAATAGACGTCATGATTTTGATTTGAAAAAGATAATCCTTAGATCGCATTCACAACGAGTTGAGCCAGGCTTTACAAATCCTGGGGACTAAATATGGCGGACGTACATGAAAGAAAAACCACCTAATCCTTTAATAGTCTCTCCGCCTCTCACACGCCTCCTCATGTGTCGTCCCAATGGAGCCGAGATTTTAATGACTGTCCCCCCGCAGGGACGACGTGTGGGGAGGCGTCACACTTCTCTTTCTGCTGCTAATACATGTACCTCATTAAGTTTTTATACTGATATATATTTCATCCTACAAAGCAGTTTGTTTTTTTTTTATAAAATTTAAAAATTAACCACATGCTCTACTGTCATCAGCTTACACATTGATACCACATTTTTGCAAGTCACAATCCCACAAATGGATCATTTCCAAATATTTCTGGAGTAAATCAAATATAAATGAGATGACATCATTAAACGCTGTTCAATATTCAATCATGGTTCACTATTGATACACTTGACGTCAATAACCGTAAGGTGATGGATCTTTAGTGACATTCAAACAACATGAGTGGGTGATGATTATACACCTAGGACAAATGATATAATGGACAATGAAGCAACCATAGGAAACAGCTAGACTCTGTTTAAAAGAGAAAAAAACAGAAACCAGGAGAAAAAATCAACATAACCACATTACCAGAAAAAAGGATTGTTCTTTGTGTTTCATGCTTAGGAAGTATGATAAATTTGCATGTTGGCACATAAAGCTATCTTAATTTGTTGGTTTCAGATACGCAATTTGTTGTCATCAACCTGCATGTCAATACCAGTGTGATATCAGAAAATAAAATGTTCACAAATGACCTTAATATACCAAGGCAATGAAAGGAAAACAATATATTTGATAACATAGTATTGCTTCGGTGAAAAGCATAAATGCTATGTATCTAAGACCCCATTCCCATATACACCATCGGTCAACCCAAGTCTGCAGGGACTGTTGCTAAAAGCAATCAGCTTAACTGAATGATATTTTCCTCTTGTTTCCAAGGTACTGTATTCATAAAATCAGAAGCTTTTTTGTATCATACTTAACGCCAGGAAGAGGCATGCCATTCAGTTAAGCTGACTGCAGTCAGCAAAAGTCCCCCAAGTTGCATTGTTCCACGTAGACTGATGGTGTCTATGGGAATGGGGCCTAAGAGTAAAGAATCTTGACTACAGCTCAAGACTTTTCCCAGAGAGTCGTCCAGCTGTCATTTGGACAGCCTCTGGCCTCTAAAGATGGCCTATATTTTCAACAACGGTTGGAAGGCTAAATGGAATTTTTGGGGAATGACGTTATATTTGTAGTTTTGGATCCCTGTAAATCGGTAAACAATTTACAGATCATCATTTTGGACTCCTTGTACAGCAACTCCTTAGGAAATCCCTGCTCCAGTTACATATCAAATTAACGTCAAATTCCTGAATACATGTTGTACAACTCACTGTGGAACATATTATTAAAATCCATTTTGAAGCAAGATGATCTAACAATCCTGGGCCAATGAACTCCCCCTTCCTTCTTTTGGCAATAAAATCCTCTGACAATTCTCAATCACAATCACTTACTTTCAAACTTTCTGTATTTTTACCCATTTTATCTTTTTGTGAGAACAGTGCAATGAACTTACAAAACAGTATATGGAATACAGTTAATACTTTATTGCTAAATCTGCCAAAGTTGTTTTAGCCTGATAAAAAACAATTTCTATCTTGAGATATAAGTAATCATTACTAGTGGTACACATACTTCCTCAACAAACTCTGCACTTCAATGATATTATAGAAGATATAGTAATCTCTACTATCTCAATGAATTCCCCACTATATTCTAAAAGTATATGCAAATGGGCCTTAGATAAATAGTTTTCTTTACAGCATCTGTGAAAAAAAGGTTATTTTTCAGCATATATCCTTCTAGGTGACTTTTTACAGTAACTAAAGCTCTCAGCATTGGCATGCCCACTGGTGTAAAGAAAACAACCATCATCATAACTCATTGCTGGCTAAAAGCATCAACAACCTTGACCAGTCCTGTCTTCTACATAATAAATATGCTGGGAATGCAGTGGAAAGGCAATTTATTAAAACAAAAGATGGACTTTGGATCTGGTTACAGCTAAGAATGCATTTATTTGAAAGGAACACTACATAAACTATTCTGATGCATATCTCAACAGACAACAATATTCCAACCTAGACTCCACACTAATAATCCTAAAGGTAACCTTGATCATGATGGAGATTGTATCTGCTACGTATCACTGTTGCAAGAGCCAAGTTGCAGTATTTGTATCAAAATCTATACACATAACGAAAACCTCATCATGCATGTGCATAAAATGCAGTGCTTTCCAATACCTGTTTGTCATTAATTGGGTCTGACAATTTATCAATAATATGTGTACATGCTATAATCTAATTGTTCTATTTAATTTCAATTGTAAATTCCTTGTGGAGAAGATTCCTCTGGTTGCTTTTGTATTTACATATCCCAATCCTTCAGTAAGATTTAGAATTTCTCCAAACACCATATACGGAGTGCCTCTCAAAATGAACCCTAAATGTTAGGCTCCAGCAAACCTGCAAATCATTGTTTCATAAACCACAAACGTTTCAAAGACTGACACTAAAAATGATAAAGATACATTTGACTCTGCCATCCCAACCTTGAACACTCTTATTATTTATCTGTGCCCTAATGACATGTACAAAAATAAATATCTGACATTCAAGCAAATGAAAAAAGTATCCTTTTATGAAGTAATGTCCATCTTGGGGACTGCAGGCTTGCGAAAAGAAGATTGATGTTTTGGCATAAATATGTGTACATGCCCTACAGAAATCCCATCACGTGTCCCTACATTATTTCATCAGGGTGTATCATCAATCAGCATGCAGGCCAAGCAGACATGATGTTCTATATATTTTATACTTTGTACTGCAGCAATTTACTATGTAAATACTGTGTCACATTATGAAAATAAAGACCAAGCATGACAAGACCATGTGATCTACATGGAAAGGAGAGCGTTCATGGTCCAAGTCTTCATTTTTTCCACGTCAAGGGTATTTTTATTTAGCAAACATACAATTCCAATTTTGACATTTTACCTGTGTTTTCAATGATGCACACGAGCTTTTTTATTACTTAACAATACCACACACTTCAAAGTCCTTAGAAAGTATTTGTTGTTTGTGTTTTTGATCAGATCTAGCGATAGCGTGCTAGCTATGTAGACAATGGCAAAAAAGCGGGTTCACCTGGTGTGAAATGCTGTATACAATTTTGAGTCATCCTTCAATGCTGAAACCAGCATATCTGATCTAGGAAAAAACCCAAAGAGCAAAGTGCAATGAATTTCCTTCAAGCTTGTTGATGACTACTCCAAAGGGAATTTTCACATTCATTTCTCACTGAACAAAAAGCTACTTCTTAATAATGGTAAACTGAAACATGTTGACCCAGTAGACAACTCTCGGGGAGCTTGTTTTGTGATTTGAGTAAACAAAATTTATCATTCTTTACTTTCCCTTTTAATAAAAACTCTCTTCCTGGTTTTAATGGAAAGGGAAGGAACCTTGTCTAAATGCACCACACAGCACGCATATAAATCTGAAGAGGGGAAAGTAACACCCTGGGTTTCAGAGGTCATTGATAATGGGATTAAATTTCCAGTGATCTCCAATGAAAATTTTGAAACTCAGGGTGGGATATATGGATAAAATCAGAATTATGCTTTCCCTGAAAGAGGGGGAGGGGGCAAACTGTAACAAGGCCAGAAAAATGAAGGCAAATGTGAATACATAGACAAAAACCTGATTGAAGAACTGTCTATAGATTTCTATCTACTCTCAAGTCAAGCCATACATTTGAAGAGGTCTGTGCACCAATCATTACAGAAGCTTTAAAAGAGTATGACTGAGATATAATGCTACATAACATCTCCTTCAGAACCACCTAGTCTAGGATATTATGCAACTTGTCCTACATTAAAAGTATCATCAACAGAGAAGCTAATGTCCTAAGGCAAAGATGTCATTAAATTTGTAACTTAATCTTACAGGCTTTGGAGCTCTCATTTTCCTTGCAAGACTGGCTTATCTAACTGGACAGAAAAGATCTTGCACAATATTTCTGCACAAAGACGACACCTATACTCTCTAATTTGACTGATGTTGAAATTAGGAATATGGGGTGTACACCTCCATCTAATAACATTCAACATACACTTGGACAGATGGGCGAAGACAACTGTCCAAGTATTTGGAAAATCCATTTAATGCACCAGTGCCTTTGAATAAACCTTCACACAACAAAGGTGTAGGGTCACATCTACAGGACATGGCAAAGTCAGTTACACAAATTATTATGACAATTGTATCATCAACTTATATAACATTTATGTATATCTTTTTCCTTTATAATACTCAAAAATGTTTCTCTGAGAGTACAAACTTCATACACTTGATTAATAATTAATCAATGCATCAGAAAGAAAGAGCTTTCAGCAATTTTTTTTCACACAAACTTATCTTTGTGTACTAGGTTTATACCAAATTTATGGTTTACTTATAAATTCTAGTTAACAATTAACTTCAGAAATAGCTCTAACTTATTATCTTAAGGATGAAACTGTTTCATATGCCACTGTAAACAATCTTATTATGGTCAATATACTGCAAAGATATTGATTTTACAGTAGTTCTATAGACTTGACTTAAATATCACAAGCAAGCTGAAGATATTTCAAAATTATAGGATAGGGTGCAATTATTCTAACAATATACAATGCCTTTATCAAGAAGGGCATCTGTCAAATTTACATCTATTTTAATGGAGGGTGGAGGTTGTGTGGGGTTAGGTGGGATAGGATGGTTAAAAGGCATCTAACAATGTCAATGATAACAGCACAAGAAATCAACCGCAAATAAAATCAGAAAATTCACTTTTTCCTGATGCAGTTGGGCTCATACTTTATGTTTTAATCAATGCAACTCAAATGCAATGGCAAAGGCAATACATTTGAGACATTTTTGCATTAATTTATGATAAAAGCAAAACATCTTTATTACAATGAAAAAAGTTAGGAGGTAAACAATGTATACCTGGTGAAAAAACTGCCCAATCCTAGTCCCCTTCTCTTTGGCTTGGCTCCTTTGCTAATATCAATTCCACTATCTTGTGATGTGTTTCGGGTTTTCTCATACGAGTTCCTAGCATGCAAGTTTATGTCCATAAAACCAGCCTCATCAGTATCAACAATGCTGGCACCTTGAAAGCCATGTGCATCTTCACAGATAGATGAGAAATCGGTCCCTGTGCCAGTGCTGAGACTAGATAAACTAGAGAATGAAGCTGCATCTGCTTTGAAAAGGGAATTGTAAGCAGTGTCCCTGTCCAATGTAGAGTCTGGGCTGGTTTCCATTTGATCAACCACTTCGGAATCACAGGTAATAGTCGACAAGGTATCAGACAATACCTCATTGGTTTGTTGGAGAAGACATGAATCTTCTAACTGAAGTTCAGATAGACCCATTTTGCTTTCATTCTCCACATGACTACTTACAAACTTTTCTTCGTTCTTGCCATTTTGATCACAGTGGGCCACAGGAGTTGGTGTGTACTTTATGGCATTATTATTATTTACAGTCAGGAGCTGTCTGGTTTGAGGTATGTAAACAAGTGGAATTGTCTCTAACACAGCAGACAATCTACTACTACCTTGGTTAATTTTTAATATACATTCACCTAGCTTTGGACTTTGTCCATCATGTGATGTTTTTAGTAAATCATTGCCAAACTCTGTGGTGTTGGAACATTCAAGTTTGTTCAGTCTGTTTTGTAAATCTATCAAATTGACACAACTCCCATGGACACAGTCTTCTTTCCCGTGTCCGCAGTCCCCTCCACTGCTTTGCCAGTCTGTGTCAGACAAATTTGGCAAACTATGGGAATGTTCCTGGTTCAGATTAATAGTTTGGAGTAGCATTTCTGTCGTTTGTTTACCTTCGGCGGTTATCTGTTTATCAGAACCCAAAGCACCTGCACCTAGCCTCCTGTTGACAAAAGGTTTCCTATTATTCTGGGCCTTTAAAAGCTCAACGTCGTCATCATTAGAAAACAGTGAGAGTGTTTGTACGGTTTCTTCCTGGTCTTCAGTTGAAAGCAGCGCCCAGGCATCTGCAGAATTTGACGAAGTCACATTCATTCCTCGCAGTGACAGGTCATTACCTCGGCATCTCGGTCTCCCATCTCGCGGCCAAATACCGTCTGACTGGGAACGTTGAAGCTCCCTTTGACTCCCATCCCCTACTTCAGTTGGGGAAAGACGCATTCCCTATATGACCCCCGTTGTCATTAAACCATTCTCCTTACGAAGTGTACTCAATCAAGGAAGTTTTTATGGAATGTTTCCCAACATCTTTGTCACTACCGCTTGACACCCAAAGGTCAGCTGTTATGCATGTATGAGATCAATTTCCCATGATGCATTTGTGAAAGTATACCATGTGACTAGTAAAATCAAAATATAAATGGATATAGAAATAAAAATAAGTGAATCACACAACATTTCATATTGTTAAATGCAAATTTTATCAAGGAATGTAAATCATTTCATTTTTGACTAAAAATATTAATTTTACCCGTGATGCTCTTTAAGTCCCGCCATTTTAAAATGTGCAAACTGGCATCCGGTACGACAGCAACGCTGCCACCGCAAGGAAGCATTTGGTGTATTTTCATAAAAATGTGACCTAGCGATCAGTGTGATTGCAATCGATGCATCAATCGACTTATCTTTTTGATTTGTTACACGCCTCTAGGTAGGTAGGTGAACCGCTACACTCAGAATTATCGAGTGGTTTCACTTAAATCAAGCCTGGGCAAGTTTCAACTCGACCTTTTTGAAGCCAGTTTCGATTGTAAAAGAGTCGACATTTTATTAGGAAAAACTGAATTTCAGCTAAAGTTTTCTAATAGGAGTTTGTTCAAGACTGGTCACCGGAGTAGTCTGTATCAGGAAATGGAATGTCATTTCCAAAATGACTTCTGTAATCATGTAAAATTACTTTGTTTAGTGTAATGATCTCTACTGCGTAAAGAACCAACGCTCGGCTGTCACCTTGATTGGTTAGAAATCGATTGCCATAAAATTGCTACATGATTTGTAAAATTTGGTGCATAAAGTAAGAAAACCTCATAAACCTTATTGTTTGTAAATCCCACTCAGACTGGAAATTCACGATAAACGTTTACGAAGTCTTCGTCCTTTACAGTTTTTCACAAGCTTTATTCTCAATATGTGGCATACATGTAATATGACTCTATTACAGATTGACAGAATAACAACATGGATCCCCGTAATATCAAATGTAGACAGTCACTGAAGCAGAAAAGAATGCAAGAAGAAAAAGACAATGGTGCTGAGGAAGATGAAGATTCTGAAAATGATGTAATTTATACCTTTTGGTGTATACTGAAATTTCCTGACTTCTCTAAGAGACCTGATATATATCTATAATGAAAGAAGACATTTAAGTTGGTTGTTGAAGGTCACTACATGTTTTAAAAATGCTTTTTTACAAGGGATAGTTACATGTTACTCTTTTATTTGAAATGAATCAGATCCTCACAAATAAGTAGTGCTAGCAGGTACAGTTAATCCTTGACAACTTTATTGAAATGAGATAATGATATGTTGTGTGAAGATTTTGCATGGAAGCACTTCTTTTGCATTCTCTTGTTTATTCATTGAAGCATATGTGGAAATTTTAGATGGAAATAGTTATGATAAGGGAATCACCCTTGGATCGCAGTGGAAGATTGTCCAGAAGAGGCAAGGCAATTGATAGGAAAAAATTGGTTGACCAGGAACTGCAAGGTAACATCATAATTCAGTAGCAAATAAGACTAATAAAAATTGAAGACACATCGACTGAAAATTTTTTTTGAAAGTCTTGGAGGTACATTCAATGTTATTACTGGTATACATATCAGAAGAAGATTAGAGATGGAGTATATCAGGTTGATCTTGTTTCTGTATATCTTTAAAAAAGTATGAGTGTTATCTTGAACAGTGACAAACTGAATAAATATATTGTCATAATTATTTTCAGCATGCGGTATTGATGCAGATAACCTGGAAGAGGATGAAAAAGAAGAAATGATTGTATGCAGTATTGAAACTTTATTTTGATGAAACAAATTTTGTTTTCAATTCAGAAAAAGAATGTTGACAAAATTATTTAGTAATCAGACAGTCATAAAGATCTAAGAAATATTTGTTATATGACACCTATGTTAAGTTGGAAGTACATAAAAATATTCCACTTGCAATGTACACATTTATTTATTTGTGCTTTTTATTTTTATTTATTTATTTTATTTTTTTGTAGAAAGCATTACGTATGTCCAAGCAGCAAGCAGCTAAAGAGGAAAAGTACAGAGAACATGTAAGAGACCAAAAAATGAAAGTAGTAAGCCATCTAAATGCCAACATTAGTGTGCAAGAGTCTCAGTCACTTGAAGAAGGTGGTGAAAAAGATTCGAAGCAGTGCAAGTCTACTGAGTCTGCTCAAAAACAAGAGCAAACATTGGGAGCAAGGAGAAGTAATAGAAAAATAATGCAAGTTTCACAAATCCAGGTCTCAGGGTCTAAACAAAAGGATGATGTAGAGGAAGAAGACATTGTGATGGAAAAAATTGTTCCAACAAGGACTGTCTCAAGGCTTTCCAAGAAAATTATAGCAAAGGAAATGAATATAAGTGCTTCCACAGCTATAAAGCAAACACAGGGTAATACTCCAACTTCACAAGAGAAATTAGAAAAGGATGATGTTGATGATGGTGATGATGATGATGATGCCACACAGCCCATGGACCTAGAGGACCTCTCCCCTGATTTATTTTCAACACAACAGGATGACCATCAGGTATACTAAAAGGCAGTAAGACGGGATTCTTTTATCCTGCTTAAAAATTAAATAAAATTTCAAAAAGGATTTCTTAAAAAAGAAAAAAAAAAGACCAATGGAGCTTGTGAATATTGATGTTTAAGGTTTTTTTGTGTTGCCCAATGATGTACATGATAATTTTTCAATGTGGAAAGTAAAAAACTAATAGGAAACCAAAGGCAAACTTTTGCATATCAAAATATATCTGAAAATGCATCAAACTTTTGTCATACTGTAGGAACTTTACAAAGATGCTGTGAGAGAGACATTTTTTATGTTATAAAAACTTTCGATCTGTCATGACTGTGAACTTTATATTTTACTTAGATTGGAGGTGAGATCAAGTCTGTTCCAGAGAGTGATGAAGAAACCTTGTCACCTAGCCTGAGTCCAAGGGGAACTGTGGAGAATGTAAATACATCTGAGACACAGGAATATAACAGGTTTGGGGGCCATATTAGATCTTGATGAAAACAAGGAGACTGTAGATAAACAAAGATAGAAGAATGAAAAAAATGTCTGAAACCATTTGATATATTGATGGAATTTCTGCAATTAGATTACAGAAGAGGTGCAAAATTTAATTCAATAACTAATATGGTGATAATGTGATAGGGTATATTTTCAGGAAAATAAGTGATCACAAATATTTATGTCTCTTATATAGTCAAGAGTGCCCCAAGGAAGATGGTGATACTAAGGCGCAGCCAAGAAAGAGGAAATCAAATGATTCTGATCAGCAAAAAGCTGCAAAGATATCTCGAGGAGAGGAGGCTTTTAGCTTTAGGCCTAACTCAGCTGAGGTAGGCTGAATAAGATAATTTTCAAACTTTTTTCTTCCAAAAAATTGAGACAAGTTGTGCAATGTAAATCTTAAAATTTTGATTCATCAGCATGTCTTAAATGTGTCATTTTATTATTTTCTTATAGGTATCTAGTGGAACATACAGTCCAAGTGAAAGTCAGGAAACCCCAACACCTTCCCCTGTGACTGTGAAATTAGTAAATCGAAAGTAAGAGATGTTTAGTATAATTTCTTTATGAATTCTCTTTTAAAATTGTCAAGTTCAAAATATATTTGCTTTAAAGGTATATAAGACTGAGACATTGTGAAAAAAGGGAAACAGAGAAAATTAATACTCTTTTTCTTCATATTTCAGAAGTCTCAAAAGGAAGGTAAGTTATGTTTTTATGAATAATAATTTTTCAGAGTTCATTTACTGGTAATAGTTAAATGAATATTGAATAAGTGTCTAAGTTTTTGTAAATGCTTAGTTATATTTGTTAAATGCTTGTAAAAGTAAGGCGATAAAAGAAAAAAAAGCTAAAATGCTGTTACTGAAATATTGGATTCTTTTTTCAGCTTCTGTATAAAGGACCGTCCTATTTTGCACCAGTAGGTGTAGATCCATTAACCTATACAAAAGTCATCGTGCAGTTGTTTGATCAATATAGAGTACTGTTGCGAGAATCCCAGCACAACTTGACTGAACAGTTGTCTTGGGGCAAGCCTGTTGAAGTAGGTAGACATATGGAGAATACAGTGGGACTGTATAAGCGTGGAGGTGAAAAAAATTTGAATTTTGGACTTGAAGAGGAAAAAGATGTGCAAGATGTGGAGGATGAAACTGAAGTGGAAGAACCTCAAAAGGTTCAAAAGCTCCGTAGCATTAATTCAAATGTCCAGGTTGACTCGTCACAGTTAAAACAAACATCCAGGCTGCGTGGTAGACAAAATGAACCCTCATCAACTGCAACAAGTAGTAGTAAATGGACATATGATGAGAAATATGTATTCCCTGATGAGACGAGTGGTGACATGGACAGTGAATATAGATTCAAGAGTCTTGGAAGAAAATCTAGAAAACCAAAGATAAGAATAGATGCTGAAGAGGATCTTCCAGAGTTAATAACTGATGACAGTACTCAAGGATTTCAATCAAATTCATCTAGTCAGGATAATCCAGTTCCTCCTACAGATATCAGTCATGAAGACAACATGTACAGGCAGTTGGGGTTTGAAGATTTTGAAAACTCCAATGACATCCCAGTCACAGTTCAAGAAGAAGGAAGGACAATTTCAAAGAAATGTATTTCCCAGAAGAACGAAAATAACACATCCTTAAGACTGTCAAGATCAAAATTATCCACTAGAAAGACAAAGATTGAATTGATTGAAGAAACTGTACCAGAATCACTTATAGAAGTTGAAAACTCTAACATTGCCAAAAAACCAAAGCTAAGAGAAACAGAAAAATCTGTTGACACAATGACTTATGTCCAACCTGGTGAAACACTTGATGTCGATGATGATTATGATGAGAATTATGATGACTACTTTGCTGGTGCTAAGCAGTTAGTTGTTACATCCACACAAAAGTCAGAGCAAATAGGATCAGATTCCCCCATCTTTTCAGGTGACAGCAGAGATTTCAGCCTTGGAGTTTCTAACTCCAAGCAATTCTCAGCATTGTTTGATAGTTTTAATGAAAATGATGTTGATGCTGGCATCACCAGAAGGAGGACATCAGCCTTGAAGTCTGAAGATTTAGATGTGCCATTAGCAAGGAGGACTGCAAAAAATGTCTCCAAAAATGAAATTAAGGAAGATGAAAAACTGATGGAGGAAAAGTCTTTGTTAAAACAGCAATGCAAAGTGAGTGTACTGTGAATTTCTTTCAAAGTGATGGAAGTATTTAGCTGACTAAAGCATCAGTACATTTCTGATGACAGATGTAATATGTGCAGTTTGATTTCAGGGTATTTTAAGAATTACGTAAATTACAGTAAAATAAGTGATTAAGTTTGTAATGTTAGTATCTCCAAAAGAGAAACTTGGAGAAGGGACATTGTGCCATTTTCTTGTTTAAAACCAAATTATGTTGTACAAAGATGAGTTTTTCTTTCGACTGTCAGTGGATTTCGAATTGTTTGGAAATGGAAAAAATTTAATGTGCCGAGTTAATTTTAGTAAAGTTTAAATTCTTGAGATTTTGCTCTAATGTTCTAGTCATGCATAACACATGCTATCCAAAAAGGCTATTTTCCAATTATCATTTTTTTTTTTTAAGTTTGCAAAATGGATTTATTTTGTTCATTTTATGTAGTCTGCTTCTGAATTGTTTTGAAATTTGTCTAGGGAGAGACCTCTGGAGAAAATGATGTGAAAGTTAAGGGAGATAAAACAAAATACAAGCCAAAATCCAGAGACTTTCATTCCCAAGATGATAGGCAACTTTCTCAAGACGATAAAAGGGAAGTTTCAGAGGTAATGAGCAAAACAGATTTTTAAGATTTATTTTGTATCCTTGGATCTTATTAGTACTAGTAAGCATGTGCTTATAATAATTGATTTCAGTAGTAGGTTTCACCAAGAGGAATATATTAACTTAAATTGTCCATTTAATATTGCATTAACCACAAACATAATTTAAACCAAAAGAAACTTTTGATTTCTTTTCCAGGACCAGGATAGAACATTCCAGTGCCCAGTATGTGGTGTGTACTTCCCCAAGACTAGGATTGAAGAACATGTGGATAGGTGCCTTGATGGAGCTTCAGAAGGTGGGTGACATAAGAATGAAAACTGTTGATTTTCAGAGTGAAGAGGATTTTTTGTTCTGTCTATATCTTTTTTTTTCATCATTCATTGACATTAATATTAAGCCTTTTGAGGATATTTATGTAACTACTTAATGAAAATGCATCACGGATATGCATCAAGCAAGACTCTTGTAACTAGCAAATTTAGTATAAGAAGTTCAGCACTATGAAAATATCGCATGATATTGTAGAGTATGAAAAGGTTTTTCTGTTTTGAAAGAGCACATTGGTTTTTGATGATACTACTAATTTAAAAAAAAAAATTCTCGTTTTTTGAATTTAGACACTGAAGAAGACAGGGGGGTCCATGTAGTCAGGTATGTAAGCCTTTAAAGTTCATAAGTGAATAATTTGCATAACGTTCTGTTTTGGATTTACCTTATGACATATTTCATCCTCAATTTCCGAATCCATAGTCTCTGATAATTGATCAAAAATATTTTTATTAATATCTAGTGAACAGTTGCGTGTTAAACCAGTTGTGAAGACCTTTGAAAGAAAAACAGTGGACAATCCTCCAACAAGAAGTAACAATGTTGAACAAGACTTCATTTGCCAAGGTAAGTTGCTGATTGTGTTTTTATGAATGCTATTGATCTGCATGTTAGTTGAGCAGGATTTTTTTCTGTAACGGAAGCTCACATATGGCATAAGATTGTCATTGAAGTAAATGTATCTGCATCTTATTTTTTTTTGATCTTTTTTGATTTGGCTTTCTGGTTATTTTTGTAAAAGTTTTGACTTTATCTTTATTAGGTTTGTATTTATTAATGTAAGTTTTTTTTTGTTTTGCAGATTCTGGATCAGAAAGTGATTGGGCTGATGGCAAAGAAGCAAAAATAATGATAAAGTAAGTTAATTTTTTATGAAACCCATATTTGTGTGTTATACATATCTGGAATTGATTTTTTTGCAGAATAATTGAATGACAAGGGGAAATATGTTGACACTGAGATGTTATTTTATTTTGGTGATTTGTTTTAAAGGGATGATCTTAGCAGCAGTGATGATTCCATAGATGCCAGAGCAATCAAATCAAGAAAGAATAAAAAGAAAGGAGATCAATTTAGTGAGAGGAAAACACAGAAGAGGTATATAGTGTTTTGATGTCTTTTTCATTCAAGTCTGACAGTGTGGCATACTGCCACTTCTTTTCTCCGTGTTGGCTACATCAGCTGACATTTGACTTCATTGTCTTGTACCAAAACTTTGCACTTGATCATAATGATGAATGCTCTATGCAGCTATTTTATTAGTCTTTTTCTCTGTACCTTTCAGAGAGCCCACACAGGCTTGCATAATATGCAATGCAAAGGTGCCCCAGTCCAAGTTTGAAGAACATGTAGGTCTCTGTTTAGATGAACAGGAGAGAGGGCAGCAGGTGCAGCCAGAACCCAGAGTGACTAGGCAGGCCTCGCCCAGATTGGCACAGCAAAGAAAAAAGAGGCACCAAGAGGTTAAAGGTGAAGAAGGCATAGGACACAGTGGACAAAGCACAGGGCAGTGGCTTAGTACAGACAAAAATGACAGTGGTGGGTTTTCTTTACTGGTAAATTTTGGGACTTTTTTTCATTGGTTTGAGGAATCAGGGTTTATATTAAGTTGTGACTTTTTTTGTTCTCATTGCCCTTTTCTTTATAGACAATTCATTATTTTTGTTCTCATTGCCGCTTTTTTTATAGACAATTCATTTTATTCCCATGTTCATGTCATATTCTTACTGTTTGTGTTATTCAACCTTTATATCATTACTTTTTCTGTTTGGTTTGCAGATGACTTTGTGGAGACAAAATCCTTGTCTAGTGTGAAAAAAAGACAGTCCTAGTGAGTGAGTTGACATTTTCCTCATCTGTGGTCTGTCCTACTTTATATTGATTTTGTGATACTTGAGTTAAGTCATTACTAAAAATCATTATGGAAATTACATGCATGATTTATTTATTTATTTATATGAAGTAGTTGCAACTTCTTGCTCATTTATGGGAATGTTTCATTTCCTTATTAGCTGTGCCCATATTTCAGTGCCAATGGTAAAAGCCTTAAACTGCAAGCAAATGCTGCAACTAAAACGGTTTGTGAAAAAAACAATGACAGTGACAGAGTTAAGAACATGGATAATGAGGGTGAGGAGGAAAATGCACTTGCCGTAAATGAGGATGAGGATGCACTGGCAGAAAGTGAGGAAGAGGATGAAGAGGAGGATGAACTGGCAGTAAGTGAGGAAGAGGATGATAGTGAAAACACTGGATCATCTGACACTGCAACGGATAGCTCTGACTGTGAAATAATTGAAAATATTCCTTTAAAACATTATTTAAGAGAAAAGCCAGATAAGACTGAAAAGTCTTCTTTCAACTTTGAAGAAATTGAAAACTCTCCCATCAAAAGTTTCAAAAAGATCAGTCATCAGTCCAGTACTCTAATAGATTACAATAACCAGTTTCGTAAATCAGCAAGTGGTGTGAAAAGACGCTTAGTAGATGGCTCAAACAAAGGTCCAAGAAAGCGAAGGAAAGGCAGTACACAGGGCAGGAGAAAAAGAAAGAGAAAAAGGAAGAGTCGGGGAAAGACTGGAAAAAATGTCACTCAAAATATGGAACAGAAAAAGAACTTGCCAGTTGCTACCAAAATGGAAAATTGGGTTAAGTGGAAAATGTGACAAGGGGTGTTTCTTTTAAGATGATAAAATTGAAGTGCCAATCAACTTATAGTTAAAACTTGTTGCTGATCTAAGATCTTCTTTAAGACCCAAAAGTTTTAAAACTGTTGAGAATATGAGACTACCCTACCTGTGATTGTTGGAAATAAATTGACATTATTGTGACACACACATTATACACTGTGCAGAGGATATCTCCTCAAGCAAATATGGCATATTGGCACTGCTTCGATATATATATATATATATATATATATATATATATATATATATATATATATATGTTCCATTTGTTTACGCTTTGAAATAAATTCAATAAACCTTCTATAAATACTTAATAGATATAACACACGTGTTGTTCCATTACAACTTTGAACTGTACAATGCATATGGCTAGTACATGTTATTGTATATGAGTTCCAGAAGTTTAAGTGAAAGAAGACCTGGTGGTGTTATTTATAGTTATGTTAATGTATGTTATTGATAATAATAAAATTGTGATTACAAGTTGTGAAGTACTTTTTTTACAGTTACTTACATCTTTTGTTTGACAGATAAATTTAATTTGAAAATTGCATTCAAAATTGTTTTTACATTAGAATTAAAAAATGAAAGAAAATTTTATTCATTCAAATGCAAAAGAAGTGAAGTTGTTAAAAAGAAGCAGATTAAAGGATGAAAAAGTTTTCATTTATGTCTCAAAAAAGTCTGTAATTGCTCTAGATTTATATGCGGGAATTCTGAAAACCTGCTGCAAAAAAGCCAAGAATGGGTAAGCACTGTCACGCGCTACAATAGACATTTCGAATGATAAAAATAATCTAGATATTTCCATGTAAAAATGAACGAAATTGTGTAAAAAATGGGATAGCATGATATTGTTTCAGAAAAATTGGGGAGAAAAAGCACTTTTAATACGTAGATTTATAATTAAGATTCCCATTTACGTTTATGTTACGTAAGTTCAGTTTGTCTAGCACCACTCGTATCAACGCGGAAGGGGGGGGGGGGGGTGACACACGGAAGTCCGTGTCCGGAAGACCATTTTGCGCAAGTGCAGTGACCTACTTTTTTCCATCACATGACACATGACCTGTGAAAATGGCGAAGACAGGAAGAGACCTGCTAGATCTGTCGTCAATGAATGGGCCTTTAAACGATGCTGCAGCACAGAAAACACACCAACTCGCAATAACAAGAGACTATATTTCTCAGCCCAGGTTGAGTAAGTATTGAAAGTGCGTCCATAGTTTACTTTCCAAGAAAGCGTTGTGTCATTGAGCTAGTTCCCGGCGTCTCACGACATCAGCTAACATCGTTTTTAGTGACTGAAAATGAAATTTATCCTGGCACAAAAACACCTTAGAGAAGTAACTGGATCTTAAATAGATTTCTGGACTCAAGCTTGTTTTTGCTAGTAACTGTTGCATTTAATCTAAAAAGGAATTAGATTAATTGTGGGTGACATTTTGGGTGACAAGGGATCATGTGATATTGACAAGTCGATACTACATGGTAAGGTTCAGTCTCTCTAAAATCAATGAAGATGTATAGATGAACGGGCATTTATTTAAGATATAGATGTTGTCTTTAGATGATGTCACTCAGTACTTGTATAATGTCATTGGAAGTTTATCTGCATTCCATTAAAGAAGTGATTCAATTATAAAAACCAGAAACTATATTTTAATTAAAATTAACCTTTTTTTTAATGTTACATTTATGAATTATAATATTTTTACTTTTTAATATTTTAAGTGTAATATGTAAATATTATTTGATGCAATTTGGTAGATTTTCCTGGAAATTTATTTATATCATACCAACAATTATACTTCATGTTGCATGATTTTATCTCAGTTATATATTTTGTCTGTTTATTATACCATGGTAAATGGCATTTTAAGCCATTTAAACTTCTAGCAAGCCATAAGACATACATTTGTGCATACTAAGAGGGGTGCAATAAATTGTGTGGCGTGCAGGAATCAAGCCTCTACCACATTAATCTTGGGTGACAAGTGTGACTTGAGGGAAAAATTTAGGGTCTGGTACCACGTGAAATAATGTCCCATAGAACTGAAAAGGAGTAACAGTGACTGATGGCTAAAAGCATTGAACCCAAAATATGATATAACATGCTTGGCTGGGGTAGCGCTAGCAATTTTTTTCGCTTAAGCCATATCACCACATTTTTGTCAATTTGTTATCAAAATGGTTATAATTTGGCTAAAACATGTCAAATCAAGCCCTTTTTCTTTAGCCAATTTAAGTCAGTTTTAGCATTTGGCTAAATTGGTGAGTGCTAGCGCTACCACAGCTTGGTATATGTCCATGGTATTTTAACTGATCTGTTTTCAATAACTTAACTACATTTAATCAAACAAGGCTCTGTCACACAATGCATATGGGCTGTAACTTGCTAGTTGTAAATGGAGATTACATAGTTTCAAACACCCTATCTGTATAAGTTGAATGTCTGGTTTTGTGACACATGAACACTAGTTAAATTTGTTTTCGTGAGATTGTTATGATTTACATATAAAATATGGCAGTTATTAGTGTCATTAGCAATTGATTTGTTTAGTTTTATAACTTGACATTTTGCTTTGGACTTGGCTGAATTTCAGGGTGAGCAGTTCTTGTAAACCTGCAATGTTTGTATCAAGTGCTTTTAGCTTTGTCTCTTAAATACATCACTGAATTTTTTAAACATGAGCTTTCATCAGAATTTCAGTATTTAATCACCATGAAATAAGAAGAAATGGACACATAAATGACATGGAAGTAGTTTTTGGAAAAGCTATTTTGGCTATTGTGTAAAAGTTACATAATCACAGTGGTCTAATGCATGTTAACAGATTCACCTATACTTAGGATATAGAATTATAACCATGTGTGTTATGGTTAACTCTAGTTTTGGATTTTTTTTTCTTGCGGGGGGAAGAGAGCAGCTTGGTTAGCATGATAAACAATTTGCCATTCTGCTGTATAATTTGAAACAACACCAGCAGTATTGCCCGAGTGAAGAAAGTTAATTTTGCTGATAGGAAATAGAACTTGGGTCTTTTTTAACAAGTAATATAGTTTATTTTCTATCAGGAACTATTAAGTTCATTTCTTTTTTGCATTCTGTCGGAAGAAACATGTAAATATTTTGGTGTACTGACAATATTCTCTTCATTCTTTGGAAAAGGTCCCTTAGTATTTGATGGCAGATTGTAGAACAGTGGGGTCACCTTGAAATGCAGTTGTGGAAAAATAGATTAAAATAATTTACGTACAGTTCATGGAAGTCTGTGATCAGTTTATCTATAGGTAAGCCCATTTCACGATGAAGAGGGTTATTGACATTTTAACCGACATTTTGTGAAGAATCAATAAATGGTTGGGAAAGCTGTGTGTTAGTGACTTTAGGCTATGATATCTTGAAAACGATTGATGAAGCAGTTTATCCTAAGCATTTCAGTTGGTTATAAGGCCAGTTTTTGCTGCAAATTGTGATTTCATTTTTGTGATTCATTGCTTTTTTCCCTAAAAAGGTTGCTTTGCTTTGTATTTTAATTCATTGGTCTGTTTTTCTTGCGTGTAATGTAATTCTTCTATATACTTGAGATGATATCCTTGCATCATTCTGCCCTAAATCTAATTTGGGTGGTTCTTACCTGATGATATAGAAAAATAAGACATGGTGCATTAATACACAGTTTGCTTATAAATCAATTGCAATATCCCCCTGGGAAGAATTTTTAGATTAATATTTGCACATGGTAAATTGATGAAGAGAGGTTCTGGAAATTGTTTCCTTTTTATTGCCTCTGGTTATCCACTCAACGTGGCACTAATAAGTGCAGCTGGCTGGTAGACCTTGGTAATATATATATCTGTGTGTGTCAAATTGGAAATAATTTGGCAATAATAAGCTTAGAATTGGGTGATACACCTCTGTTTACCATACTTTTTAAATGAGTGTGTTCTGTGAAAGATGTGTTGATGACTCTCCATTATGCTGTTGTTTCCTTAATTTTTATAATGCAAGAGTCGCAAAGGATATCTTCATGTAGTTAAGTTTTCCAGGCATTTTTGATGTCACTCTATGTTATTATATAGTCACCATCTTGTCTTAGCATGTTTTAGTTACTGTCTCATGCTACTTCTATTTTTAATCCAGCATACAAGACAGTGTCTGGTGTAAATGGACCACTGGTTATCTTAGATGATGTCAAGGTAAATTTTGGACCCATAAGTAACTTATAAAAGCAGAATTCTTGTTAATAAAAAAAAAATTTAAAAATAAAAAGGCAGAACTTATTTTAAAAAAAGAAACAACATTTAGTTTAAGAAGTTGCTGAATTTAGTTAGTTTTTAAAACACATTATTCAAATTTACCCTACTATTACCTTTTAATTTAGTTCCCCAAGTTTGCCGAGATTGTCAACTTGACCCTGGCTGATGGCAGCACTCGCAGTGGGCAGGTCCTGGAAGTCAGCGGTTCCAAGGCTGTGGTTCAGGTGTTGTCTCCTTAGAATATGATCTCTGTTTTATGTATTACTTAATCTTGATATGAGGACTGCTTTTAACAGTTTAAACTCTCTAAACCCTATTAAAAATCATTAAAAAGGTTAGTTGATTTGTATTTTGTTTAAATCTAGGACACTCAACCTTGGTTTTATATTATTTTATATAAGAAAACTGTGGGAGAAAGTTCTTTCAATTTGAATAGCAACCTGTTCTGCTGTGTAAAACATAGAAATTACTGTTTTTGTTTAATACAGGTGTTTGAGGGTACTTCTGGAATTGATGCAAAACACACCACATGTGAATTTACTGGAGACATTTTAAGAATGCCTGTATCAGAGGACATGTTGGGTAAATTCTTAATGCTAATATATTTTTTTGGCCAATTTCTAGTACTCTGCTATATGCAAAACCATCTTCCCTTGCTAATCTTAATCAATTTGATCTAAAATTGCATATTCTACATACTTAAATGGTAATTTATAGTAAGAAAGTCAGATGACAAATTTTATGAAATCATCTGACAATTTTCACAATTTTTATCGAATGCCAGGTCGTGTCTTTAATGGTTCTGGTAAACCAATAGACAAAGGGCCTCCTGTGTTAGCGGAAGACTTCTTAGATATACAAGGTAAGTCTAATTTTCCCTTGTGTAGATATGTAAGATGGTTGCACATTTTTAATATCACGTGTTCTCATTACTAAAATTATTTCTTGAGAAAATTGAAAATGATGTATGAAGAAGAATTAAACGGGAAAGAGATTGAGGACATTTAAACTATGAATATATATATTTTTTAATGCACTAATACCACCCCTGAAGCAGGTTTCAGACATGTACAGTTAAATCCTTGTTTGTAGACCAAACTGGAGGCCAGACTGTGTAATGGAACTGCTAAGTCATGCACAACCTTTATAAACCCATAAATCAATGTAGTACAAAAATATGAAACCATTTACAAGCTGCTGGCTCATTGAATGAAGTATAGCTAAAGCTGCATGTTTTATTACAAATAATAAAAACTGCAGGAAGGATGCCAAATTTTAAAAGTGCTTGTACATTTATTTCACCCTTTTCATTGTGCTGGTATTTTGTATGTAATGCAAGCCCATTTTAAGCCCATTCAGTGAGTAGAGCAAATGGTGCATGAGTGCTGTTTAGTATTCAGTACAAGTACACTAGAGGAATTGAAGAACGTTTTCTGTTGCAGAGATAAATCACTGTCTGTGCTTAAACATTTTTTCCAAAGCTCTTCCTTTTGTATATTTTTTTTATTTGCTCCTTTTCCATTTTCTTTTTTAGGTCAGCCCATCAACCCCTGGTCACGTATCTATCCTGAGGAGATGATCCAGACTGGTATCTCAGCCATTGACTGCATGAACAGCATTGCTCGTGGGCAGAAAATTCCTATCTTCTCAGCTGCTGGGTTGCCACATAATGAGGTATAACATCTAGTTCTTGTTTTACTTTTTAAGAAGAACTTTTAGAATGACCAATTTTCAATTTTCCAAAATTCAAATAATTTTTTTGAAAATATTTTGCTGAGTAAGTACTATTGTTGAACATTTTAAATACTATTGTTGCTTTTTAAAAAACAAGACATATTTTAGTAACATAATTTGATGATTCTCTGTTATTAACTTTTAAATATCTCATAATTTAATTTTTTAGAACAACAGAATTTTAAAATTTCCTACTCTTGAAAAATATTGTCAAAGCTCCTACAACCTGTTAAATCAAATTTGGGGAAATAATCTTAATTTAGGCATCATTGTGTGTGGATTAATATTAAGCTGATAATACTGATTGGCAACGATAATAGTATCACCATTATATAAAAGCTGATTAGTGCTCTGTTTACAAATTTTATCATCTGTGTTGCAAATTGATTAGAGTGGTGGGGGTGGATCCAATCCTTAATTCTAAAAACATGCGTTTCCACAAGACAATATTTTATATGAAAAAGTGATTTAAATGAGAAGTTTGTCCAACCATTTGCTAGTGTTTTGAAAATTTTAAGTATATTGACTAGTGATCAGTGAAATAAAGTAACAGAAAAATATTTAAAATGAATTTGTCAGCAATAAATAGTAATTGTGAATGCATTTTTTTAAAAGTAAGATGGATATAGAGAATTTCATTGTGAATGCAATATACGCTCTCTTTGATATTTGCCATTTACTATTTCCCTATATTAGATCGCTGCTCAGATTTGTCGCCAAGGTGGTCTGGTCAAGCTCCCAACCAAGAGTGTTATGGATGACCATGAGGACAACTTTGCTATTGTATTTGCTGCTATGGGTGTAAGTGATTGACTGCTATATTTAAATATAAGATTATACCAGTGTATGCCAAAAGGTCAGAGAATATCCTGGTCCAAAGCAGAAGTGGTGGCTACTAACTGAATAAAGTTGCACAGTTTGCTTAACTGGCCTGGCTACCATTCTGTATTTGTCATAGGCCCAGATTTAATGGCACAGACTGTTATATTCATTGGCACATTGCTTTGAATAACAATTTGTAAACAACTTCTTGTTGTATTTAAAAGATACAATTTCCTGTGATTGTTTAATGTAGCTACTGCTCTCTTGACATTTTAGGTGAACATGGAGACTGCTAGATTCTTCAAACAAGATTTTGAAGAGAATGGCTCTATGGAGAATGTCTGTCTGTTCTTGAATCTGGCTAATGATCCCACGTAAGTATTATTTGATTACTCAAAANAGGCCGGATTTTTGAAAATTTCGTCATACCCAGGAGTCGGGGAGAGGTAATTTTGAAAAATTAGTCGGTTTAACACAATTAAAAATATTAATTATTTTTTTAGCGACGAAATTTTCAAGACTTTACCGTAACTTTTAAATATCTCATAATTTAATGTTTTAGAACAACAGAATTTTTAAATTTCCTACTCTTGAAAAATATTGTCAAAGCTCCAACAACCTGTTAAATCAAATTTGGAGAAATAATCTTAATTTAGGCATCATTGTGTGTGGATTAATATTAAGCTGATAATACTGATTGGCGACGATAATAGTATCACCATTATATAAAAGCTGATCAGTGCTCTGTTTACAAATTTTATCATCTGTGTTGCAAATTGATTAGAGTGGTGGGGGTGGATCCAATCCTTAATTCTAAAATCATGCGTTTCCACAAGACAATATTTTATATGAAAAAGTGATTTTAATGAGAAGTTTGTCCAACCATTTGCTAGTGTTTTGAAAATTTTAAGTATATTGACTAATGATAAGTGAAATAAAGTAACAGAAAAATATTTATAATGAATTTGTCAGCAATAAATAGTAATTGTGAATGCATTTTTTAAAAGTAAGATGGATATAGAGAATTTCATTGTGAATGCAATATACGCTCTCTTTGATATTTGCCATTTACTATTTCCCTATATTAGATCGCTGCTCAGATTTGTCGCCAAGGTGGTCTGGTCAAGCTCCCAACCAAGAGTGTTATGGATGACCATGAGGACAACTTTGCTATTGTATTTGCTGCTATGGGTGTAAGTGATTGACTGCTGTATTTAAATATAAAATTATACCAGTGTATGCCAAAAACTTCTTAGCCTACCGGTTAAAAGCAGAAGAGGTGGCTACTAACTGAATAAAGTTGCACAATTTGCATAAAGTGTTAACAACTCCTCGTTTTGGCCAAAAAATGAGTTTTCCTGGTGTAAACAACAATTTTCCTATACTTACCAATGGTTAATGAATCCATTTTTACATTCAAAGTTAGTCCCTGTTTTTTTTCTAAAAAGTTTGTTTTTTTGTTATAATCTCTTAAGAGATTATAACAGAGTGTAGCCATCAATGGAGGTCACGTGGTCTAAAGACAAGCTCAGATATCAGAATAATAGCTATAACTGCCATTTTTGTGGTAAAACAGAATATATTATATTTCTGTGAGTTGTTCACAATGTTTTTATTGTGAAAAATAGATCTCATATGAAGAGTTATTATCCCTTTAACTGGCCTGGCTACCATTGTGTATTTGTCGTAGGATCAGATTTAATGGCACAGACTGTTATATTCATTGGCACTTAGCTTTGAATTACAATTTGTAAGCAACTTCTTCTTGTATTTCCTGTGATTGTTTAATGTAGCTACTGCTCTCTTGACATTTTAGGTGAACATGGAGACTGCTAGATTCTTCAAACAAGATTTTGAAGAGAATGGCTCTATGGAGAATGTCTGTCTGTTCTTGAATCTGGCTAATGATCCCACGTAAGTATTATTTGATTACTAAAAACCATGATTTTAAACATTCTGAAATGTTTCAACAAATGCATTAGATCAAAACAAAAAGGAATTGTAACGAAGTTAAGAAAAATTACAATTCTGAATGGATTTCATGAAGTAAATTTCTTTACTTGAAAGTTTGACAGTTTACATTATATATTTAATGTTGGCTTTCAGGATAGAACGTATTATCACTCCTCGTATTGCTTTGACCACAGCTGAGTTCTTGGCTTACCAATGTGAGAAACACGTACTGGTTATTTTGACAGACATGAGTTCCTATGCAGAGGCTTTGAGAGAGGTAAAAACATTGTTTATTTACAGTTCAGCTGAAAATTATGTTGCTCTACAGGCCTGTGTAAATAATAGACCTTGAGGAGATGTAAAATTTTACAATAAATTGCAAGCCCTCCAAAACCCTCAGTTGTGAGCCAGCAGTTTTGTATAATTGCAGTCTTTTTTTAAATTTTATTTCTTGTTTGAAAAATTAATCTACTTCATTTATCTACCTAAAGATCCTTTAACTTGTTAAATGCTTTTTAATAAGTTTTTAGTTTGTTTTCTTAGGTGTCTGCTGCTCGAGAGGAAGTCCCAGGTCGTCGTGGTTTCCCAGGTTACATGTACACAGATTTGGCCACTATTTACGAGAGAGCTGGTCGTGTGGAAGGACGTAATGGTTCCATTACCCAGATTCCAATCTTAACTATGCCTAACGATGGTAAGTGGAGCTGGGATGGCCTGAAAGACAGAAATGTTGTATAGTGTTCATTGCCTGAGGATGGTTGAAGAACTTGAATAATAATTATATTAAAATAATTAAAAAGTTATATGTTAATTTTGAATATTTTTCATCAGCTGTGATAAAATCAGTGGCAGTCTTATAGTTTCTGTGCTTGATTAGGCTACCTACAGTCTCTGTAGAAGTACTAGGCAAACACTAAATGATTGTATTTTCAATAGCTGTATTTCACCGATTTAGGGTGGGACTGTACCCAAATAGGGGTAGATAAAATAGATAAAATCAACAATGTCTTAAAGAAAAATCCCCGGACCCCTTTTTTGTAGTTTGGTCAAGTGTTATAATACCATTAATAACATGTTTATAGCTGTCAAGGTGCCTGTGAAAATCAGGAAACCAAATATAATGTTTTTGGCTCTAAAATCACATGATAAACTTGGAGATGTGTTTCAAGCATAATAAGATGTTTTGAAGAAACATTAAATGAATGCAGCAGGAATAAAAAAAGCTAAGACATTTTAGATAAAATCTCCAACCTGCAGTCCTACCTTAAGAAACTTGCAAAGTAACTGATGTGTTGAAAGTATACTTGCTTAATGTCGCTCATTTTTGTCCACCCCAACCATTGGTTTATTTTTCCAGATATTACTCATCCCATCCCTGATTTGACTGGTTACATCACAGAGGGCCAGATCTATGTAGACAGGCAGCTGCATAATAGACAGGTAAGTACTGGCCTTTGGGAGGTCATCTGAAATGGCTTTTTATTAAGAGAGAAGTTTGTGGTATTTTTCATTTAATATACTGAAGGGTACATTATAAAATACCGGGTTGAAAACAACAACCTCTTGAAAACAACATTGAGAAAAGATGAAATTATGAAATGTTATCTCTAAAAATATTATTGCATTCATTTTATGCTTTTTTACAGATCTTTAGTACTTCTATTTTTTTTAAATTCAGATCTATCCACCAATCAATGTGCTACCCTCACTGTCTCGTCTGATGAAATCTGCCATTGGTGAGGACATGACAAGAGAGGATCATGCAGATGTGTCTAACCAACTGGTGGGTAGAATTTACCATAGATATATCATTTTGTGATTTGGAAAATACAATATTTAGAAAAGGAAATTGAAGTAAAAGGTGCAAGGAGACGGGTGAAAATCAATTGTAAATGTCTGCATGTGTCTTGAATATGGAGGAAAAAAAGTGGAGCTTAAGGCAACCTTGGATTGTGAAATGTATTTCAATGTTTTTCCAGTATGCTTGCTATGCTATTGGTAAGGATGTTCAGGCTATGAAGGCTGTGGTAGGTGAAGAGGCTCTCACATCTGAAGATCTTCTTTATCTGGAATTTCTCAATAAGTTTGAGAAGAATTTCATCTCTCAAGGTGAGAATTGTATTCAGTGAAAGTTAGAAATACAAAACCTTATCCCTTTAACAGTTGTATGCTAAAAATCGCTATGCAAAGCTGTAAAATTTTCAGTCTGCAAACTTATTTTCAATTTTTTCATTTGAGTGATAATAATTATAGAGATTGTTTGTGACTATTTGATCAGCCATGTCAGAACATACAAAAAAAGGTCTGGTCAGATTGTCTTTATATAATAGCATTTGGAATATGTATAGGGTATTGTTATTTAAACCAAGCTTTGTTTTCAGGTAATTATGAGAATCGAACCATTTTTGAGTCATTGGACATAGGATGGCAGCTGTTGCGAATCTTCCCGAAAGAAATGTTGAAGAGAATCCCACAGAAAACCTTAGCAAAGTATTACCCCAGAGATGCTCAAAGAAGTTAATCATAACTGCATGTACACACTACACAACATTGACATACTTAATGTTGAAAAGAACACCCGTTTTCAAGTGAACGATTGCAGGGGAATATACATGTATTGTAAAGGGAAACCTAACTTTAACCTACACATAGTGTACATCATAGACTGAAATCACTGCAGTATATGGTCAGTAGATATAAAGAACAAGTCTTTCTTTATGTATTGTGTTTATAGTTATTTAGGGGAGGGGGTGTAAAAGTGGGAGGTAGTTAATTCAACCAGTAACAAGGTTCAGTTATGTGTCTACCATATGCATGGTTACATAACAGCTAAAATTTATGAGAAGGAAAGAGAATGAGACAGTGTGTCATGTTTTTGTTTCGTCTAGCAGATGTTAAAAATGTATATAGAGACGTGAAATAAAATGTGGTTGTGGTTAGTTACTGTGGTGCAATGGGCATCTTGATGTTATCAATCATGTTGTCTAGCTTTTCAGCTGCTTGGCTACCTGAAGAGAGAAAGAAACAAAACCAAATGATTTTCTAATAGATATTTCATAGGTTATCATTCAATAAGTATAATGTGACAAATATTACATATTTTGAAATATGCCAATGCTTTCCTTTAATATGTCAGAAATTTTGTTTATTATGTGAAGTGCAATATACACATTTTGTAAAACGCAAAAAATTTCCTTTCAGTAAGAATTTCTGACAAATCCTTTCTTATATGGAACATTTGTGTGGGCTCTAAATTAATCTTAAACCTAAAATGGTCCATCTGCATCATGATGGTGAAGATACATTACTTGTGAAGCTGGATACAAATATGGAAAGATTTTGACTTTGAAATTTAGTCCTAATAAAAGTTAGTAATTAAATGTTCATGTTTGTATTATGATATGTGATGTCAAAACAAGAATGGCTTAAATACTGGACTTGTACCTGTAAATACTATAGACAATAAATTTGTGGATCAAATTGCCTACTGTCATTTTTAACACTTTTCAAAAAGGGGTGTGGATGTCTGTATGCATGTCTCCTCAATAAAACAAGTCTCACAGACCCAATGAAATTAATTGTGATAATCCTTTTCTCAAAGATTGATTTTTGTCTGTAACACAACTTATGAGATAAAAAAGATGCATAGTTATATGCCAAATGTGAACCTTACTACACTTGTTATTGAGGTTGATGTATATGGGCACTTATTGGTATTGTTGTCTGGTAACTGGCATCAACTGAAAAAAAAAACTTAATCTGTTTATAAGTTGATAGCGACCTTTATAACTTTTTGTAATAAATCGTCTCCTGTTATAGGTTTATTCCTGCTGCCCCCCCCCCCATGATTAAGAAGTTTGTAGATCTTTATAAAATATTTGGTTAGCCCATGCTAAGTCTGGCACTGCTGTCACCCTCGAGATACATGTGTACTTTTAAAAGTCATTTTGTAATGATATCATTGGCAAAATGATTTTTTAAGATTAAAATTCCCTATAAAGTTTCACTTTCGATTTATATGCATGCACAATGCAGATATGTTCCAAAATATACATGCGCACGCGTACTACTGTACATATACCATGATATACCAAACATACTCAAGTCTTCAGCAAGATCAATCTACATATGTAATTGTTGCACAAAAACTCATGCGTTAGAAATCTTATTCGTGGTTTCTGGTATGTCTTACATGTTTTGTTAGATGTATCTGTTGTATCAGAAATAAAACCTATCAAAACTAAAATCTTTCATGGGAGTGCTATATCGCATGAATTTTCGTGCTAATCAAATTTATGCCAAAAATAGCACTGAAAACTTCCTTACTTTCCGCCCCCTTTCCACACGCAGGTTCATTGGTTACTTTTGATCATGTGGCGGGGAATCCCCTTTTGAGAAGATCGAAAGTTTGGCATTTTGGTGCTACACGTCATTTTCCATCGTAAGAATGGAGACGTTAGGTGACGAGAATAAACAGTTTTCACACAAAGAACTGCTTCAAGTTTTCGAACCAGCGTTTGTGAAGAATCTTATCCCGTCACATCTTTTGCCTTATCTCCCATTCCTCCGTGAATCTCTAAACGAAATCCGGAGAGCAGAAAGGGACGTCTCAACACAAAAAGCGGTAACGGTGCTTTTCGAAAAGCTGCAGGCAGTGGATGAAGAGAAAGAACCAGGGTGGTTTCAAACATTTCTCGGTGCACTGAAATCAGCGGGTAATGCAAACGCACATTTAAATCAGAACATGAATTCTACAAGTAGCTTGTCTACATAAGATACATGTACCAGTATTTGTGTTGATGGCATTGAGGGTATTGTAAGGGTTATCTCAATGTTTTCCAAAAAAATGTATGTAAGGCAGTAAATAAGTGGTTTTTGTCAAACGCTTACAGTATCCTTAAAAATGAGAGATACGGGGGGGATAAAGTGAGAATATAGCAGTTTTGTGTTTTTCAATCTTAATGTTTTGAATGTTTACTTTGATCTGCCGTTTATTATTGNCGTTGAGTGCCCGCTGGGTAACTTATAAACTGATTGGTTACTTCAGACACAAGTCCATTCCTCATGGTGGGCACTCCTACTAACTCTCTGTTACCAAGCTCTAACAGATTACTGGCTTCAAAACAAAGGACATAAAAATTTGAACTGTAAGGTGTGAAGTATTACCTGAAGATACTTATACAACATGGCTTAATTCCCATGTATGAATTTTATGAAACAATGGCTTCCTCTGATTAAATTAATGCTACATCATGTATGAAAGTTTTAAAAGTACTAATTTCATTTTCTCTATACTATGGTTACTGACGTCCAGTTGAGCATAATTGCTAAGCAGATTGTGTGATCTGGGTTTAGTCATGTACCATTATAAAAAGGATGATCATTATGATATGGATTAACACTTTTTTATGTTGTAGGAAAAGAATCAGAGGAAGATGGAGAATATTCTGGATATGTTTGTGAAGGTGTGGAGAAGCTTAACCTGACTGGCAGTTCAAGCAGTGGGAGTGACCACTCACCAGGACAACATCAAACTGCCCTAAAAGAGATGGACAGCAGTAATGTAGTAGACATGAGAGCTTCAGTGAGAGAAGCAGTGGAGGAGGGTTTGTCATACCCTGTGCAAGAGTCACCTCTAGGTAAAACTAATATACATATTATTTATTAGATTGCCATACATTATTATAGAATAGGTAAAAATCAAAATTAAAAGACAGTGGGGTTGAAAGTAATACTGTAGAAAACCCTGTTATAATTGCTTTTTTGAAATGCAAGTAAAACATACAAACTGTTAGCATATTAGTAGTTATCATTACTTTTTAACACAGACACTGTAGATGAGGATATCAGTCAGGAAGCCCAAAACCTGGGAAGTTTGGAGGAATCTGAACCAGCAGAAGAGCCAGTTATAGAGGTTCCAAGTAATGATACAAGATCCTTTGAAGTTGAACCCCTCATACAAGCTCCAGCTCCAACTGTCTCAGATGATGAGACATTGTATAACAGTAAGCAGTAGCCGATTTTTTTTGTGAATCTCTCAATGCTGGAAAATGTGTATCACTGCTGGAAAAGTAAAACATTTATAAGATTATTTTAATAACGATAATTAATAGAGCTTTTTTGGGTGGAAACAGATTAGCAGGTTTTTGAGGTGAGGTCACAAACTTTTTGTTTTGATTTGATTTATTTTAAAATGATTCATGTTATTGTAGGAACAGCAGATGAAACACTATCCAGTTCTGAGACTTCAGATTTAGAGTTAAGGAACTATCAGAAAGAGCTGGCCCAGCCAGGCCTTGAGGGGAAGAATATTATTGTATGTGCTCCTACTGGGAGTGGGAAAACTCGTGTGGCACTCGAGATTACCAAGGTTTGTCAAACCTATATCGTTCTCTCTCTATATATATATAATGTCAAAGATGATACAAAAAAAAATATTTCTTCATTTTAAATTTAACTTTAAATACTAACATCCATGGACCGTATTAAAACTTTTTGTGGCATGGATCCAGTTGTGGACAATTTTACCAAGGCCCTTTGGAAGCTTGTGGTGGCCAAATCATGTTTCACATAAAGCACTTGAATCATGAATGTTATTGATGTTCTTCATATTTTTTTCTTCAAAATACAGGAACATCTAGATAAAGCAGACAGAGGACGGAGAAAAGTTGTATTTCTTGTCAACCAAGTGGAACTTATGGAACAGCAGTTAGCAGTGTTCAAGAAAAACCTCACTGGCTACCGCACCATTGGTTTGAGTGGAAATGTAGATACAAAAGTACCCTTGAGTGAGCTTCTGCCAAAGAATGACGTTATTGTTTTAACAGCACAGATTCTGCTTGATCAGTTGAGAGATAATTTATTAAAGATTCATGATTTTTCTCTCATGATATACGATGAATGTCACCATACCAAGAAAGGTCATCCATACAACAATATTATGGCCTTCTACATTGACCAGAAACTAGACTCACCAGTCGCTGACTGGCACCCTTCAGCAATCCAGGAAAGGTTGCCCCAGGTAAATTTTAGTCAACAACTATTTTTATGTTTTTGTCAAATATTTTTGCCAATTAATTTGAAGATAATGTATGCCAATCACATGTTTTTCAGTTGATAGACAAAATGGCTAGAGAAGATGAATCATACATATATGAGATTATATTTACTAGTAATAGAGTTCTACTAAACAAACTTGTGGACGTTACAGTGTATGTTACAGAGTAATTTTTAAATTGTAATTGAAATAATATTATGATTTGATAGGTTGTTGGGCTTACAGCCTCTTTGGGTGTTGGGAAGGCTAATAATAATGAAACAGCAATAGAACACATTCTGAAATTGTGTGCTAACTTAGATACAGAGGAGTTGTCTACAGTTGTACAACATGAGAATGAAATGCTGCAGTACGTGAATGTACCCAAGTCAGGTGACTTTAACCATTTCTTTCCATTTTTTATTATAATTCGGCTAGAATAAGAACTATGTATAACTCTTTTACTGGAACTTACATTAGCAACCGACCGACGTTGCAGGCTCAACTTGAGATCTTTAACAAGGTAAATGACCTGGATGGACTGGTCACCTGATCTTTTGTCAAAGGACTAGGAATTGTAAGTCTACAGTGCCCCTTTCCAAATGTACAAGAGTTTAAACCTGAGGCCCTCTTTCTTGTTCAGTTTTGGATTTTCAACCTGTTCCCAAATAGCTTCTAAATTGATGGCACATTTGCTTCAGTTTGCCTACTGATCAAGAATGGTTAAGTCAAGAGATGTGATCTATCGTGTGACCAGTGGTTTTGGTGTGTCGTAAATTGAGAAGTTTTGCAGTTAATTTCTACTGGGTCTTCTTTGGTTGTGTAACTCATTCTGTTAAAGCTTGTTATGTTTCTGATCAGTCTGTACATAGCACCACATACAGCACCATACACAATTTTGAATTTTTTTTTCAGAGATTGTCTTTAACTTTTTTCAAGTTTTCCTCTGAGTGTACAGTATTTGCAGGTTTGAATGATTTTGGGTATCAATATGATTTAAATGGTGTTTCAGTTTGTCAGATAGTCCAACTGTTTATGGAATGGTTACTTGTATGTTACAGTTATTCCCAGGGTTAGTGGATAGACTTTTTGAGAGCAATCACATCGAGAAGAGCCGCGGTCTAGCAAGGCCGAAACCTAAATATGGCAGACCTACATGAAAGGAAGACCGCTAATCCTGTAATGGTCTCTCTGCCTCTCTTCTCACACGCCTCCCCATGGGTTGTTTCTGCAGGGGCACAGTAATTAAATCTCGGCTCAATTCAACCGGTCGAGGTACAACGTGTGGGAAGGCGTGTGAGAGGCGAGATGTGAGATGGGACTGCCCATAGAGCACTCAATTGTCAACAGATACATGTAAAGTGGTTACAGTAATGTGCCATGAATTTCGAACGGCTCTTAAGTTCGAACGATCTTAAAATTGGCCGTCTGGAGTTTTTTAAGGACCATGGATTTCGGCCAGTGAGCAATTTTGCGCGATCTCGATTTCATGAATTTCGTACACCTTAAAATGGGCCATCGGGCTATTTCTGTGCTCATAAAGATCTAATAGTCGGCAATGTTGCCCTAGCGTACCTTTACCTGAGTGCTACGTGTGCAGCCCAAGGTGCAAGATAACGATCGGTACTGTTAGCTTAGGACACTAAACAACACTGTCATCACCATTCATGCAGATAACAGGAGAATCAATTACTGTCGGGCTGTTGTTTCTTTACCGCAGTGCTCGGTGTGAGATAGCGATCGGTAGTTTTGCTGAGGCGCACAATAGCATTGTTAACAGTAGAGACTTCAGTAACAGAACAAAAGAAGCAATATTAAGAGCTGCAATAAAGATTACCATTATTGCTTTCTTGTCTCACTCAGATCGTTCACGATCTCCCGCTGACGATCTTCCGCTAATGAAGTCCCTTGAAATGTACAAATGAAATGAAAATATTTTAAAAAATTATAAATTTCAATGGGGAGGGAGGGTTGAGAACAATCGATAACGATCTTCCGCTGACGCTCTTTCGCGAACGTACTCCCGTATGCTGTCTAAGGGTAGACTCTTTCTCTCAGCATTCTCTAACAACGCATAGAGAGCAAGGTCTGGTGGTATACATGATCAGCAGGGGCAGACAGAAGCTGTCTTCTGGGTCTTCCAGAAGAGGGTCAGACTTTGTAAAGTTTACGTCTAATTTTTTTCTGTCAGAAGACAGTCAAAATTGGAGGATGGATCAATATAGATAATTTGGAAGACCGTCATAAATATCTCTGGATCTGCCCATAATCATTGCAGTGACATCATATGAGGTAATAGTTTCAGATTCATTTAGTTTATACCCTTTTATTATGTTGAAAAAATCTTATGTTCTTGATATGGTGGGGTGATTTACCTCCTATTGGATCTAGAATTGGCGTACTTGGCCAGATTATAAGTCACTAAATTAACATTACTTACAACTGACCTCAGGGGGATTACCTCAGGTTTATGGATTTTAGGGATTTCAAAGAAAGCTGGTACTGTTGGTTCCTAGTCTGAGTCCAATTTCCTCTTCACTTCGAAGGTTATGAATTTCTCCTTATTAAGTTTACTGGCTTAAATTTTGTCATTTGTTGTATGTATTTATTGGTGGGATTGTACGTAGCCTAGTGGATTTTATGTTTTACTATCAGTAAGGAGATTGTTTCCCTTGCTGTGATAGTCTGACTTGTTTGATAGATCTATACATTTTCCTTGATCTGTTGGAATGATTACAATGTTTTCATCCTGGCTTAGATTGTCCGCCTTCCTGAAGGCATGACCAGCTAATTTCCCAACAAAAGAGGAGTGCGCTAGGGTTATATCATATCCCAAGATCTTTTAAACTTATACTCCAAAATGATCCTGAGAGATCTCGAGGATCATTCAGAATGAGTCATGGTCAATGGTGTCCAGATAAACAATCTTTGCTATGCCAAGGATACAGTTCTAACTTATTAGAGTTAGGGTCTCCAAAATCTTTTTGATGCTACTGTTGCCTCCAGTGAACATCTTGGACTACGTACTTGTCAACAGCAAGAAAACAAACACCATGGTGGTTTCAAAGTCAGAGGTTGCACTACTTTGCATATTGCTATATGGGAACACTCCCATTGTCTAGGTCTCTTCATTCAAGTATCTATGGACCCTAGTGACTTCCAACGCCTGTTGCAAGACAAATCTGAAGAAGGATTGGTCATGCAAAAAATGCACTCTCCTGTGTCTGGTCAACTCTTTTGCATGATATGGCTGCAACTTGGGCTATTCCATCAGAAGAGGAATTGAAGAAACTCAGCCTTAGTGGTAGAATACCTGGCCAAGGCAGACAATGAAAGACCTTCCTTGACAATTTTGAATTGTCAACAAGACACCTTTGTTCTATGGCGAGAAACAGAAACCTTTGGCAAAATATCAACATTTGTCAAACATTGCATGGGTGATAGCACATGAAGAAGAAGATTGTTAAGATCCTTTATTTCTTTTTGCCTTTGGGATATTAGCATGGGGTAGCTTTGTGTTGCAGATAGTTTTTGTTCCCTTTCATGGATAACTGATCTGCTTGTGATTATTCCTAGCCATATGACAACAGTTCAGATGACCAGTCCATCCAGGTCACTTACCTAGTGAAAGGTCTTAGGTTGAGGCTGCAACTTTAGTTAATTACTAATTTTAGTTCCAGTATCAGAGTTATACAGAGTTAATTCTCATTCTAAGACTGCATTCCCACAGATTTAGATTGATCCATCTGGATCAACCTAACTCCCTGGGGGTTCATGCTAAATTGCTGTCAGCCAAGCGTGCATGAAAGTTAATTACCCCCTTACAGCTTTTAATAGGCGAGGCAGACATTTAAGCTGGCTAAGCCGACAGCAATCTAGTGAGACTCCCCAGGGGGATAGATCAAATTAAATATATGTGGGAATGCAGTCTAATTCTAGTAGATGACTTAAGACATTCAGTCATCTATATACAATGTATTATTGAGAATTTAAAAAAATTCAAATGAATAAATCCTGGTGCTTACATGTAAACTAGTAAACTACTCAAATTAATTATTTTATCTCATTCAAAAGCACTGATGTTTTATATATTGGTGAGGAATTTAAAAAACGAATACTGTTTTGTTACATTTCACAGATATTGTTCCTGTTGGTGAAAGAGCCATGGATCCTTTCAAAGATATCATAACTGGAATAATGGAAGAAATTGAAAATAAAATTAAGGATCTGCATGGTAAGTTGCAGTACAGCTTTATACATTTTAAGGCCATTTAAATTAAAGATTGCAGGCAGTACATTAACAAAAGTATAACAGCATTTGCATTAAAATGTAGTGACATGATGTAAATTTTTCTCCTATATTGTTGCTTAAAAAATCCAGCATCAACATTTTAGGTCAGCATCAACTGAAAGAGAGAAGTGCAACAGATTTAGATCCCCCTGCTGATAAAGGAAAAGGCCCCTATACTCAGTGGGTCCATTCACTGAAGAAAAAAATTGCAGTTATTGATGAGCAGAAAATACGGTGGAGTTGTTTTGCATGCTGGACAAATCTTTTGGTACTAGTATTGGTTAACTGTTCAGAATAGTAATAAATTAACATCCACTAATACATGATTTCTTTTTTTAATGAAATTTAGGTGAAATTAAAATAAATGCTGGTAGTTAAATTTTCATTTTGAAAATATTGAATTAGATTACTAGCAAAAGCATGTTTTAGAAATAAAATATAACTTTTCTTTGTTTAAAATTAGATTAAATTAAGATTCAGGGCTCGACACTGCATGTTGCCTTTCTGCCTGTCCCAGATAGATAGGAATTCAGTTTGGATAGGTGAAGTTGCAGGGTGGGCTGTCTGACTGACAAATCATAGTATTTGAGAACAGAAATTTTGAAAACAAATAATTTTCATTATATGCTAATGTCTCCTTGGGCTTCCATTTGTATATGAATAGTGCCAGCCAGTTACAGGTGCTATAAATAGATACTGTGCTTTCACTTCAAAGCACATGCTCACAGCATTATCGATTGAGTGACATCATACTGTAAGCTGAGGTGATCATTTTTATAGCTTGCAAGGTCACTGCATTGCTCAAGTGCACTTTTCAGAAAGTTGGAAGTTGTGTTTTAGAGTTGTTTTCAAATGTCAATTTTATGCTGTTTTATGATTAAAACAATGTAAAACCACACTTCTGTGGAAGATTAAATCTTCAGGAGTTTACTGGTATGGAAAACAAACTTTTCATCTGAGAATAAACCCACTTTATTAGGGTGCATTTTCCAGGCCCAGATGGAACATCGTGGTAATTTATCCATTCTAGATTACACATATTAATTTACAAAGTTTACAGAAGAGAGACAGTATGAATGGAAAAATTATCGATTTTGTTGGACAGGTTGGATTCTAAGTTGAACAGGTCAAATTTTTGACTACCTGGTCATAAAAGTTAGAGTCGAGTCCTGAAATTGCAAATAACTGTGCACTTTACCACTGACTAACACTAGAAGTCTATCACTTTTTAGTTTTAATGGTAATGGTAAAAAAATGATACATGTAAAATGGCCCAAGTAGGTTTCATGTGTGAGATAATACACTATCCCCCTGAGTGATACATGCCAGAAGATCTTGAGCATTATTGAGAGACGTCAATTAAGGCATATATCAAGAGAGGGTGGCAATATATTACTTGACATTCATACTGAGAGAAAGAACTTGCATCTCACTGAAAAACATCCCTGAAACCAAATCATATGTCTCTAGGTGTGTATTAGGTTTTATTTCAGAGGCAATACATACTTAGGCATTTTTTCATTGATCTTTGATTTCAGACATATCATGAGGCCCTATTGATAAATGAAGACAGCAGAACAATAGATGCACTTGATTACATCAGAAGCGAAAATTCAAAGAGATCCACCCATAGAAATTTAGATATTGATAACTGGCTTCAGCAGTTATTTCAAGGTAATTGTTTGATATTACCTGAGGACCCTTTCAAGTAAAAATATATGTGAAAAATATCAGTCTATATTAAGTCACTTACCCTGATAAAGATCAAAGACAAACCATTATTGATAAATTGTTCATTATTCTATTTACAAAGTTTTCAAAATATCTTCTGTACATGAATGTCAACTGCAAGTCAAAGTAATTATCTGTAGCAGCAGCATTATGAAGAAAAAACAAATGTCCCAGCAATTAAAGCATAGACTGTGAACACCAATCTTGTGTCATTACATTGAATGCAGAAAAACAAATGTTCATATTATGTGGTGGGGTTACCATAACTCGATCGCTACACTACATGAGTAAGCCTTACTTCATGCAGTGTATTGTAATACATACCATTTTTAGAAATGAGCCTTATGTAAATTGTTACTTCTCATCTCATTTGATTTACTTTTTTTAAATGCTATTTCAGCCTATGTATTTCTTTGGTGCTTATTATTGATTTGCTTATTTTACAAATGTGAAGTAGTAAATTGAATAGTATTAAGAAGAATTTTTCTTACACATTTTTCTGACTGTTGCAGAAAAGGAGCCAACCATCAGTGAATTTGCTGCAAATGATACTTTCAAAAATCCCAAACTTGTGAAACTTGAGGATATGCTCCGTAAAGCATATGAAGAAAAACCAGACTCCAGGGGTATAGTGTTCTGTAAGACACGAGCACTTACTGAAACCTTAAAAAACTGGATGTTAGAAACAGAAAGTCTGAAAGCATTGAACCCTAAATGCTTAGTAGGAACAAATGCAGCAGTTGATAAAAAAGGTAAGAAAATTATCAATGGTGAAGATGGATCCCAAGGGAGGGGTGTCATAACTATCACATGCCTTGCCTTTAACATATGAATATCCTTCCTTTCTCCCCCCCCTCCCCCAAAAGGAGACACATTATTTTTTAAAAAATGCTCTCAAATGTTACATGTATTGAACATATACTCATTGTACATACTTCATTAGATTGAATTATGAAAAAGTCATTTAACAGACAAATTTGTGTATTCTAGGAATGACTTCAAGCCAGCAAGTGGACGTCTTAAGCTACTTTAAAGGTGGAAAAGTAAAACTTCTCATAGCAACAAGTGTGGCTGAAGAAGGTTTAGACATCAAGCAGTGTAACTTGGTTATCAGATACGACTATGTCACCAATGAAATAGCCATGGTGCAGGCAAGGGGTAGGTTATATTTCAAAACTTTTTTGCAGTGAAATTCTTCTAAATCAATGTAGTTGACACAAATTCAACCTCAAGGGCAACATCTTTATGCAGAGAAAATTGTTCTTTGTCTGCTGGTTCTGAAAATCTAATACATATAAATGTGATGTGCAAATTTTATGTTTGGTATATGATATTAAGAAATAGTACAACCTTTAATTCCATGCATTGCCTGATATGAGTGCCATTACTTCTTTAGATCTGAATAGTTCCTATTTTCTTTACCAATTGTTTAAAAAACTTCATTAAAAACATAGTTACCACAGTTTATCTCTATCAGTCTCAACTATGGTAGCCTTAGTGAACAATGATTACTAAAGTTGTACATACTGACAATTGTAGGCCGAGGAAGAGCAGAAGATAGCCAGTATGTTCTCATAGCAGGTGGGAGGGGCACTGCTGAAAAAGAAGAATTGAATGTTATTAGGGAATCAATGATGAAGAAAGCTATTTGTGCAGTCAAACAAATGAGTCCTCAGGAGTTCAAAGACAAGGTCCGCAGGCTTCAGGAAGAAGTAAAAGATGAGCGTATGATGCGGAAAACTGCTCAGAGTGGAGCAGCAGCAGAAGATGAACATGAGCTCCAATGTTTGAAGTGTGATGTCTTTGCATGTTTATCTTCTGATATCCGTGTCATTGAAAAATCCAATCATGTAGTGGTTGATGAAGAATTCATGACAAGAGTGGAAGTCAAGCCTCACCCAAATAGCCAGAGATATGGGAATATGGAAAAAACCGGCAAACTGCACTGCACAAAATGTGACAGTGCTTGGGGAATTCAGTGTTTGTACAAACGTATGGCATTTCCAGTTCTGAAACTAGAAAGTTTCTTGCTGGAGGATAAGAATAGAGACATAAAAATGGAAAATAAGTGGAAGGATGTGCCATTTAAAGTGCGGAAATTCACTTCTGAGGACTGGAAGAAGATTGCAGCCAGGCAGTAGATACCTAGTTGGTAGCTTTTTTGTTAAAACAATACATACTGACCAAATTTATTATGAGCTTCAGTTCTGATGGATGTCACTTAACAATTCTTCATTATTAAACCCACATGTGTGTACACTTATTAAAATGTAAAAATGAAAAATCCGATCTGTGTCATCTGTGATACTCAGGCTAATTAATATTACCAACTGGCAAAGAAGGAAATTGGGACAGTAACTTTCTTTCAATATGAAAATGATCAATGCATGCAAATGTAGTCCATGATAACTCATAATACACCAACAGATAAACTGACATTTGTGCTGACTGTATTGATACATAATCACTGCTGCAGTAGTATATTTGTTTCACAAAAAGATCTATAATTTTTTCAAAATTGAATTTTACATTTTAGTCAATGAATACAATCAAAGACAATTGTCCCACTTATTTAACAGGGATGATGGAAGCTAGGTTAACCTTGCTGAGGATGTGGGACAATTTGTTAGAATAATTCTCATGAGGGGTAAGGGAGGCCTTGGTTCACCGACCTTCACATTTCTCACCAGTATCCGTAGTGACATATAATGGACATTGAAAGTCCTGACCAATGGCTGGTGAATAGACAGAAAGCTTGACTGACTTTCAGAATAATTATGTACAATGCAAATAAGGTTAAGACTTAATGAATAACACATACATGTATTTTGTGTTGTGAAAATTTAAATTCTGTAAATTGCTTTGGATCCAAGAACAGCCAGTATTACATGCCTGAATTTGAACTGAACTGTGTATGACATTAAACAAGAGAAAAAGAAGCTTCTTAATTGTCTTACCAATGTGAGAAAGGTGTAGAAGTCATTTTGACAGATATGATCAAGTTCTTGTATCTAGGCTTTGAGGGAGGTAAGAACAGTGTTTAGAGCTTAGCTGAAAATCGTATTGTGTACATAATTCTTATAGAGAAATAATTTTTGAATAAATTGTACACTCAACAAAAATATTAGTTCTGAGCCTTCAGTCTTGTATATTGAATCAGTCTTTTTTTTCTTTTTCTGGTTTTCAAATTCCCTCTGCCACACCACAAGGTCCCTGAACTTGTAAAAGGTATTATTTTGATCTTTTATATATAAAAGAAAGTATATTTAGTTATTTTTGTTTTATAGGTGTCTGCTGCCCAAGGGGAAGACCCAGGATGTTGTGGTTTCCGAGGTTACATGTACACAGGTTTGGCCAACATCTGTGAGAGAGAGCTGGTTACGTGGAAGGACCTGATGGTTCCATTAATCAAATATGCCTAGTGATGGCAAGAATAAGAGCTGGGAGAGGCTGAAAGACAGAAGTACCACACAACATATTTCTCTCCAGAGGATGACTGGAGAATTTGAGTAAAAATTATAAAAAAGTTATAGTTCATTTTGTAAATATTTTCATCAGTTGTGGTAAAATTAGTTACTGTGTTGTATTTTCTATGAGGCTACCCACATTCTCTGCAAAAGGTTACTAATTATACACAAACACCAAAATATTACAGATTAATAACTACGTAATAGTTGTAACTGTATGTAAAGAAACTTAGATGGGAGCTGAATATGTTGAAAGTGTGCTTGCTTTATGATCTCATTTGTGTGGTCCAAATCTTTTATTTATTTTTCCAGATATTACTCAACCCATCCTCAGTTTGACTCGTTACATCACCAAGAGCCAGGTATATATGTAAATAGCAGAACAGACAGGTGAATACTGGCCTGTGGGAGGACATCTGAAATGACTTGTATGATGCATTTTTCCATTCTTTGGACCTTTTATTATGAGATATTTTCATGATATCATTCAGTAAAGGTATTGAGGGGAACAATACGAAATTAAGGGTTGAAAATAAATACAACTGTGTATAAACATTGCAAAAAGTGAAAGTATGGATTTTTTTCTTTAAGAATTGTTTCATTCATTAATGTTCTGGGTTGCAGACTTCCTTACCAAGATCTGTTTAATTTGGTTAATTGAAGCATTTTTATGTACAGACACAGATGTTATTTATTGTTATTTAAATCAAGCCTTGTTTTCAGGTAATTATGAGAATTGAACCATTTTTGAGTCATTGGGCATAGGATGGCAGCTGTTGTGAATCTTCCCAATTAAAAGAAATGTTGAAGAAAATCCCTCAGAAAACCTTAGTGAAGTATTATCCCAGATGCTCAAAGAAGTTAATCAAAATTGCATGTTCTAAGTTGAGGAACACACTACACAACATTGACATACTTTATGTTGAAAAGAGCACCTGTTTTCAAGTGAATGATTGCAGGGGAATATACCCCTGGTACATGCATTGTAAAGGGAAACCTAACTTTAACCTACACATAGTGTACATCATTGACCGAAATCACTGCAGTATATGGTCAGTAGATATAAAGAACACGTCTTTCTTTATGTATTGTGTTAATAGTTTTTTAGGGGAGGGGGTGTAAAAGTGAGAGGTAGTTAATTCAACCAGTAACAAGGTTCAGTTATATGTCTACCATATGCATGGTTACATAACAGCTAAAATATATGAGAAGGAAAGAGAATGAGACAGTATGTAGCAGTGTATGCAGTCAGTGTCATGTTTTTGTTTCGTCTAGCAGATGTTAAAAAAGTATATAAAGACGTGAAATAAAATGTGGTTGCTTTTCAGCTGCTTGGCTACCTGAAGAGAGAAAGAAACAAAACCAAATGATTTTCTAATAGATATTTCATAGGTTATCATTCAATAAGAATAATGTGATAAATATTACATATTTTGAAATGCCAATGCTTTCCTTTAATATGTCAGAAATTTTGTTTATTATATGAAGTGCAATATACACATTTTGTAAAACGCAAAAAATTTCCTTTCAGTAAGAATTTCTGACCAATCTTTTCTTATATGGAACAGTTGTGTGGGCTCTAAATTAATTGTAAACCTAAAATAGTCCATCTGCATCATGATGGTGAAGATACATTACTTACAAGGGTGGATACAAATTTGGAAAGATTTTGACTTTGAAATTTAGTCCTAATAAAAGTTAGTAATTATAAATGTCCATGTTTGCATTATGATATCTGATGTCCAAACAAGAATGGCTTAAATACTGGACTTGTACCTGTAAATACTATAGACAATAAATTTGTGGATCAAATTGTCTACTGTTGTTTTCAACAGTTTTCAAATAATCTGGAAAAAGGGTGTGGTTGTGTGTATGCATGTCTCCTCAATAAAAACAAGTCTCACAGACCCAATGAAATTAATTGTGATAATCCTTTTCTCAAAGATTGATTTTTGTCTGTAACACAACTTATGAGATAAAAAAGATGCATAGTTATATGCCAAATGTGAACCTTACTACACTTGTTATTGAGGTTGATGTATATGGGCACTTATTGGTATTGTTGTCTGGTAACTGGCATCAACTGAAAAAAAAAACTTAATCTGTTTATAAGTTGATAGCGACCTTTATAACTTTTTGTAATAAATCGTCTCCTGTTATAGGTTTATTCCTGCTGCCCCCCCCCCCATGATTAAGAAGTTTGTAGATCTTTATAAAANCCCCCCCCCCCCCCCCCCCATGATTAAGAAGTTTGTAGATCTTTATAAAATATTTGGTTAGCCCATGCTAAGTCTGGCACTGCTGTCACCGTCGAGATACGGTACATGTGTACTTTTAAAAGTCATTTTGTAATGATATCATTGGCAAAATGATTTTTTAAGATTAAAATTCCCTATAAAGTTTCACTTTCGATTTATGTGCATGCACGATGCAGATATGTTCCAAAATATACATGCGCACGCGTACTACTGTACATATACCATGATATACCAAACATACTGGAGTACTCAGTCTTCAGCAAGATCAATCTACATATGTAATTGTTGCACAAAAACTCATGCGTTAGAAATCTTATTCGTGGTTTCTGGTATGTCTTACATGTTTTGTTAGATGTATCTGTTGTATCAGAAATAAAACCTATCAAAATAAAATCTTTCATGGGAGTGCTATCGCATGAATTTTCGTGCTAATCAAATTGATGCCAAAAATAGCACTGAAAACTTCCTTACTTTCCGCCCCCTTTTCCACAGGCAGGTTTATTGGCTACTTTTGATCATGTGGCGGGGAATCCCCTTTTGAGAAGATCGAAAGTTTGGCATTTTGGTGCTACACGTCATTTTCCACCGTAAGAATGGGGACGTTGGGAGAAGAGAATAGACAATTTTCACACAAAGAACTGCTTCTAGTATTCGAACCAGCGTTTGTTAAGAATCTTATCCCGTCACATCTTCTGCCTTATCTCCCATTCCTCCGTGAATCTCTAAACGAAATCCGGAGAGCAGAAAGGATCGTCTCAACACAAAAAGCGGTAACGGTGCTTTTCGAAAAGCTGCAGGCAGTGGATGAAGAGAAAGAACCAGGGTGGTTTCAAACATTTCTCGATGCACTGAAATCAGCGGGTAATGCAAACGCACATTAAAATCAGATCATGAATTTCACATGTTGCTTGTCTACATAAGATACCAGTATTTATTTTGATAGCATTGAGGGTACTGTAAGGTTGATCTGTAATCCCAAAAATGTATGTAAGGCAGTGAAAAGGGGGTTTTTGTCAAACGCCTACAGCAGGCCCGTAGCCAGCAATTTCGAATGAGGGATTCGTTTTCTGAAAAAGAAGACCTTTTACCATAAAACCTTCTCTCACCTAAATCAAATTGTATCCAGAGTGGACCTTTTCCCAGGTTTCTTTCGACCCCCCGACCCCCCCCCCCCCACCAAGTTTAAAAATTAGAGATA